AAAATGACAGATTGATATAAATTGAAAGTAATCTATTCTGTAGTATTCGATCGATACACACCCACATACGTATAACTGAAGATTAAAATTAATAGATTTATGTATACTCTTTCCGATTCCGAAAAAAGTTCTTGTACCTTGTTGCAACTCGAATCAGTAACTCGAGTTTTATAATAAAATTTAGTGATATAACCTTGCAACTTAATATTATTCATATTCGCATGACTATATTTACATGACTTGCTATCCATTATTATGTTCCCAGTAGTACATTTCCGATTTTATATGGATAAGCACAATCTACGATCTAAAATTCACCACTGAGAGGAAAAAGTATCTAAAGAAAAAAAAACATTTATTTGTGATGGATACTATAATAGCACATTTACTTAAAATAGTATAAAATATTTTTTAAATAAGAAGATACACATTTTCTTAAAATCTTAAAGAAACCTCAGCTTTCCATGAAAGCAATAGTTTATTCTATTTAGGGCCGGTTGTACCAACTTCTTAGTAAGTTAATTGATGATACACATTTTCTTAAAACCTTAAAGAAACCTCAGCTTTCCATGAAAGCAATAGTTTATTCTATTTAAGGCCGGTTGTACCAACTTCTTAGTAAGTTAATTGATCGTTAAATCACATACGTTTGTCTTTGTTTTTCCCTTAATTCACATAATTTGTCCTTAAATGAAATAATTTAGATTTAAATAAATATGTTATTAGTGTATCCACCGAATAAATATTTACTATATTTTAGTCATGTTTCCCTCGCAGTGTGCGGGCTCCGGTAGCCTCGTCGGTGGCGGAAAAGCGCGCGTGCACCGCAATATACGACACAGACGTGAAATACCACGAGATTCGATAGTAAGTGCACTGCCTCCGCCTCCGCCGTCGCCGCCCGCTTGACAGGTCGACTCCACGTGGAGTCGCACGCTCCGCTTCGCCGCTTTATAGCGTTAGGCCAGGCCTACGTTCACCGAGGCAACGATCGCCCGCACTTGCACTTTTTACGAGAACCTGTTCGCCACACCCACGGGCGATGTGAATCGCGGCGAGATATCGAGATATCGCGAAAAGAGCGCGACTGGGACCCTGCACGGCCACACGCCGAGGGCAGGGGAGAAGGGGGAGGCACTTCCCCGTTATACTCTCTTCGTTCGCCGCTAACGCGAACGGTAACACGATTACGCGGATGTATCGCAGCTGCTGCGCGAGGAGAATCCCGTCCGGCAGTTGACATGTCGTAGTGCACGTCGATGAGGACATTGAGCCTCAATAAAGCCTTAATCAGACCATTTAAAGCGAAAATTCTCATTAGGGAGAATTCACAACTCGATAGAAAGACAAAAAAGCAGAAAAAGCAGAAGTCAATTAGAATTCGCGCTGGTGATCAAGTCGACAGTTTCTGCTTTTCTACCAGCGCGAGTTTGGCTTCCTGTTTTCTGCTTTTCTTTCTCTCTCTCTGCTAAGATATAAATTCTTCCTCTATAATCATCATAATATTTGGATAAGATAGAATACAATATGATATGATATATTAAACTGTCAAAATGACAGATTAGCGGAATAATTAGTAGTTATAACTCAATTGTTGGTTCCTTGATTCATCAGAAATGATTAACTAAACAGTTTTATTCTTATATTTATTTTTATATTCTTCTTTCTTTCTTTTTTTTTTACTTAATGTTCGACACGCGCTTTAATTTTTCAGTCGACTCGTCGTCGATAGCTTCCGTCACCCGTGATCACTCGGTCGAGACAATTGCTTTTATTTCTAGTATTTTATGAGTGGAGTCTTTCTATCTGCTGTGCGTCAATGACTCCTCGATAATTTTCTTCTAATGGGAGACGATATAGCAATAGGAAGATGGTAGAGAAAGTAGCGGACAAAGTCGAAAAAATTTCAGACGACCCGTTGTGAGAACGGAAAAACAAAGTTGTAATGATTATTCGGCCGGTACGAATACTTTCACGTTAAGAAAGAGAAAAAAAGGAACGAAAAGAAAAGGACGACTTTATCCACTCACTAGAGACGATGTTTTTGCACAATCGTGATCTGTCGAGCACCAATGTTCTTTATCGACCAATAAATTTAAACCTTCTACCTTCCGCATCGTGTGTAAATAGAACTTCAGGTTCTACATGTAACACTACAGTGTACTCTTAAAGTTTCTCCGAGTGAAATTCCAATGGAAAAGTAGAGTGGATTTCGAATAAATTTGATATGCTTATGATAAATTTGCGGATACATGAGCTTATGAAACACTTGAAACAGCAAGTAACATTTACCCGAATACAGTATGCATGCACTTTTCTGCGTGTATTTTCACCATCGCTTCGAGTGCATTTTCACTCGAGCTTGAGAGACCTCGCTCCAAGAAGTTTACAGAGCACAATGTATGACGTTGGCCGCGCTTACAATTCGAGATAAAACGTCGGAGAAAAGTATCGATCGAACGAGAGATACTCTTTAAAAATCCAGTAAAATCCTATAAAATCGACGAAAGAGTCGTAACATGATATTAATCAAATCGCGAGCAACGAGAGCAGGAAGGGAAAGATGCGCGGGCATTGCGAAATCGGCTTCTTACCGTTGCACGACGCAACAACCTTGCACCTCGTGCCATGAGCGCAACAAGGTGAGCGCGCATTACTTGAGAGCGGGCGATCCTGTTCGATTATTACACCATCTGAGCATAGGTCTGGATGTTTATTGGAACGTATCGTCGCGCTCAGCCGGCAATTATCATTCCGCGACGGTAGACCGTCATAGAATTTGCAGAAACCACGCGATATGATGACCTCATCAACCGTTCTCGCGCGTCGGCTCGCTTCTGACGTTCGTCGGAAAGAACCCCGCTGTTCGCGCCTCTCTAAAGTGTAACGTATCGTCGTCGTCGATACCGTTCCGAGAAACCGACGGAGAAAATCCACCGTCGGCTCGCGCGGTGATTGCCTTTGAATACATTCCCGACGCACACGTGCGCGAACGCGTATACACACACCTACACACACATACATACACATACACGTGCGCGGGCGCGCGCACCTTACGTAAGGAAAACAAGAGAAATTGTATCATTTTGTTCGGCGGGGCCGCAGTGCGGGACCGCGCGCGTTCACGCGCCGCCGAAACTTTCACCACGTTTATTACTAACGTGCTCGTTACACGGCACGGCCGACCACGTCGTCCGTTCCGTTATTTTGCGCCGCGCGCTTCCTGCAGTACGCGGCTTGTTTTTGGCGGAAGGAAAACGCCTTCGTGAAATTGTCCTGGGCGATGTTGCGGACAAACGTGGTCGGCGCGACTTGCCCGATGAAAGAACGGCGGCGCGCGAGTCCGCTCTCCAGCCGGACAGTCGCTCGCTCGTAATTACGGAAATTTCGTCGCAGCCACGACAACGTCCGAGAGCGCGTTATTGATCCTTTCCGGTCTAGCGATTTCAATCGGAGTCGCATACATTGTCTCTTGCATAAGCGACGTTGACCAACTCCAGGATAGCTGAAACGTTCTCTCGAATTTCTCGAGGGATTCGACTCGGGAGGGAGCAGGGATACGACAGGCAATTACCGGCGGAACGAATCGAGTGCACTGACAGAAGCTCTCTGAGATGGCGCCAATTCGGGATATCTTCTTCAATGGAGAAAAAGAAAGAAAAAAAAAAACTGGTTACATTACTAATGTCACGTTACTTTCGGTTGTCTTTCTTCCGCTGAAAGAGTAATAATGACCGAATCGTTTGGACAACTCCAGTAGGAGTCTGTAGTTCTTTCTTTTCTTTTTTTTTCTTTTTTACGGCTCGATTTTTACGGGTGTCGAAAGTGAGATCTTCAGTTAGTTTTTATTGGCCTTTTTCTTCTTCTTAAAAATATTAATCCTTTAAGACCCAGGCATCGGTCCCATTCGAGTAAAACTTTTTTTTCAGAAAATAGTCTTAAGAGATGCTCCTGGTGAAGAGTTTTATGGCCGGGTAAAACCGTCGAGAAATACGATTTTTTTAATGTACATAACTATGTATATTCATGCTTGTACTGTGTGCCTTGGTTACAGATCAATAAATCTTTTCACTATAATAAGAGATGAATATAAGAGCGCCAACCTTATATTTTAAGATGACATCGATGGAAAAATGAGAAAATTAAATTTGTTTACTTCTTTCGTGAAAAATTTTACACAATTTCGGACGTCAACAATTCTGTTCTGCGATTGCCGTATTGATTTCTTCAGCGAGAAAATCACTATCTCACAAGCTAGAACGAAGAATATAGCTTTATCTAGGACAGGTCAACAGTATCATATCGATGGAATCATTATTTTGTCAATATAAAAAATTTAGAGTGGACTCAAGATGAATGTACATAGTTATGTGCACTGGACCTCAAAGGATTAAGATAAAATCACGGTGAAAAATAGATACTTTACGAGATACTTAGTTTTTATATCAGAGAATATCAGCGAATACGTCAAAGTACTTACTTTTCATCAACCTTACTTTCACATTTTCATGCGTAGATTAACGAAGACAATATATTTATATAAAAATAAATTGAATGCTTAAAAAAATTTAAGTTTAAAAAAACTTGCTATTAGAAATATGAATTTACTGTTAAAAAAACTTGAATATTTAGGTAGTAAAAAAAGATCAGTGACAGAAATATTGCACCCCTTTACCTCGACGGATTTCAAAACGCATCCGACATTCGAAAAGGAAATTTATCTTTTGAGAATAACGAAAAATAAAATCCTCCTATTAGATACGGACGCGTTGCGAACACGTTCTGCAGAAAGTGTTGCAATCTCTCTGTCACTGACCGCCACTGACTACCTGCGACTTGAGTGCTCGGGTATAGAAATATCCGGTTTATATCGACTGCATTTTTAAGCTAGAACAAATTTACGAGGAAACCGTTGAAAAGACTGAGAAATTGCTCGTTCAGACTAAGTCGGCCGTGTGAATATCGATGTTGGATGAAAGTACGGAAAACAATCTTTGCAGTATGTCACGGAAGAACGGTGCCTACGTTAGCGCGCTGCTCGTCCTGCTGCTCGAGCTGACAGCATCGACCGTGGTCCTACCGAGGCCACCCTCGTCGCTCAATCACATCCGCCATGATCAGCGGGAGTTGTCCGCGCGGAAGGCGGTCCAGGGCAAGTCTCTGCACGGCGTCTCGCGGAACATCGACGCGGGGAGACCCGATACGGAGGACTACAGGTATCACGATATTCTTCAATCGTCCTTTAATCCTGGCTCACAATAGGCCTTCAGCCTTTTGTTCTAGGATCAAAATTTCGGACCAAAACTCTAGTAGAAAATCACGTTACTTTCAATTGTCTTTCTTCCGCTGAAAGAGTGATGACCGAAACATTTGGATAACTCCAACAGGAGTCTGTGTAATGTTTTTTTTTTCCTTTCTTTTATTTTCACGACTCGATGGGTGTCGAAAGTAAGATCTTCCGTTAGTTTTTTTATTGACCTTTTTTTCCTTCTTAAAAATATTAATTCTTTAAGATCCAGACATATCGGTCCCGTTCGAGTAAAACTTTTTCACGAAATAGTCTCAAAAGACGCTCCTTATGAAGAGTTTTATGGTCCGAGTAAAACCGTCGAGAAATACGATTTTTTTAATGTACATAATTATATACATTACTAACGTGACAAATGGCGTTTCTCGCACTGCCAAAAGTCAGAATAACGCCAAAAATTAAGGATTATTATCTATAATAGTGAGGAAAACGTCTTTTGTCAGAAATAAAGGAGAGTTCTGAGAGATGATAACAATGATTTAGCTAAATTCGCGCTATCTCTATTAAACCACATACTTTTCGAGCGACCCACATATCTACGACCTACGTAGATATGGACTTATCCGGTCCCTCGCGCGCGACTTGAGATCGCACGATTCGAAACAGTGTGCACTTCGCCTTAATCCTCGCCTTGATATCGCTAGATCAAGCGGCCTTTTCCATTACGCGTTTTCTTTTTCTGCGTTTTTCTTTTTTCATAACCGCCGACCAGTATCGATATTATATTCCACCGCCGTCGCAGGTTGCCCCAGCAATTCACTTTCGCTCGCATGCCTTTATGCGAGTTACACACCGGCGAACCGAGCCTCATAAACGCACGCCTACAAAGACCGAATCTCGCAATGAATACTTCTTTCTCCCTCACTGATAATTTCGTCGGGTATTAACGAGACGGCCGGCAAAGTAAATCGTTAATGCGTTGCCCACGCAACGAGCCATTATTCCAGTCTACTTAACAGCTCCTCTTTGGAAAAGCCCCGCGTCGCGGGTTGCGAAACGAATATCCATTTATTTCGACCTCGCGCTTCTAAATCGCTCCGGCGAACAAAAGCAGAAAATCTTACCTCGGCCGCCGTTGTTGTTTCCCAGCGTCGGAAAGCGACCCAATTAGCGCGAATGAAAAGCCGCCTTCGCTGGCAGCACGAGAAACGTGAGAACCGGCCGAGTAATTACTCGCGTAATTTCAGCGAGGAGGTAGGATTTACGTGGATTACGTGGATAATTTGTATCCCCCGTGCCACCCCTCCCCCTCCCCCGTTATCCTTCAATATCGGACGAGAGGCGATTTCGCTAAATATTAAGCATTTCGCGGCGATTTGTTCAATCCCTCTTCTCTCTTTCGCGCACTCGCAGAATCGCAATCGCTGCGGTTTAATAAGGCGACGTTGACGCCCGCGAGCGGCAAGGGGAGAGAAGCATCTCGGCGAACAATGACACCTGCAACGCCGAGTGAAAATCGAATGACGACCGCGACACAGAGAGCGATCTTACCCTTTGCAATCCCACCGCGCATCTCGCGTCGTACCGCCACTAATATCGGATTAGTGACCCGACCGGATTATCTACCACCCGCTGTTCTCGTACCGTGTATTTACGGCTGATTGCGCGGCTTAAAATCTCACACCGCTCAATACCCGATGATCGTCCCGCGAAGAGTCGCAACGAAAGACTGCGTAAATCCGCGCGAAATTAAATTTCTAGTTTCTCACTGCCGCGGGCAAAGGATTAGCAAAAAAAGTTGAAATATAGCCGCGACAGCGAAGACTCGTATTTACAGTCGTGACTTGAAACTTGTCTTGAGACGCACGAGATACTCAGATCTGAATATACAGTTAAATCCGAATTTCTCAATCGAACCGCATGATATGTCAAATCGTGTGACATCATATCTGTAATCATCATTCAATGGAAAAATTCACATTCAATTTCTAAACTCAAACAATCAATTCCTATTTTTAATTTCTTGCAGACTAAAATTAGGATTTTGATAAAAAAAAAGAAATTACTATGATTAAACCAACATATCAACATTATACACAAACTTCAAAATTATTGACCGTTTTGTCTGGAAAATTTGTTTTGTTCAGAGAGGAAAGCTTATAATTCATAGTTATACTCCAGATATGTGTGTACATATATACACATATTTCAACACTTATGTGCCTTTATGTGCCTCTTTCTATTATCCATACATCTTGATTATATTGTCTGATGCACAAATCAAAAGCATTAATAAGAAAAATGAATGATATTTTTGTATTTGTAATAATATTCATCTAAACTTTTTGTTCCAAATTAACATGCATTACTTAAATAATAACACAAAATCGTGATTTTGTTCCATAAAAATCATAAAATTATGAATGATCCCACTGAAAATACGACACTGCAGCTTCCCTAGAAACCTCCTTAAGTTTATTGTAAGACACTGCAAGGGTCGTTTTATCGGCTGCATAACATTCTAAGATGAAATTGAGACAATCTCAAATATAAGATCCGACTATGACATATGAACAGCACCCTAAGTTAATTTTTTTGCACCCAGACTCCTCGAGATCGAGTTGCAGAGCGCGGAGGAAATGGACGCGACGAACCTGCAGGGTCTGGTGCGTGCGATGCTGAAGCAGCAGCAGCAGCAACAGGGCGAACAAACGCCCAACGATAGCTACCCGAATCCCGAGGTGATCCCACACTCGATTCTCGGCGTGCGGGACATAGGACTAGGTCCCAATTATCGCGTGGACACCTTCGACGACGACAAGCGCGTCTTATTGAGCCCGCCAAAGTTGCAAAGCCTCGACGAGAAGCTCTATTACCTAAAAAGCGGTCGGCCCAAGGTTTACGTGAACGTGCGAGGAAATAGCGGCCGCAAAGGAGAATCCGTGTCGCCGACCGCAACCCCGAGCGAAGGCCCGGCGGGGTTCCTCAGGGTAACGCGACCCTTCGAGAGACAAACCGACCGGAAAATACGGGACAAGAAAGCACCGCCTAAAAAATTCGACCGCCGCGTTGACGGGATTGTTTTGGAAAACGAGCCGGTCGGCAAAGTGAACGATCAAGGAGCGTCTTATGGAGCAGACGACCTGTCGACCACAGAGAACTCGTTGGTCACGTCCAGCGAGCTGCCGAAACAGATACCCGCGCCACCCAGCAAAGTCCGGGGACGAGTGCTGATGGTGCAGACCACGCCAGTGCAGAGGTACGCGCTGAGAAGGACGGACATCCTGCCAGGATACAGCTTCGCCGATGAATGAACGCGCGCGAGGACTCGCGACGTTGGCTCGTTTCGTGGGTTCGATCGCGATTTCTGCGTGGACGCGCGACACAACCCTGAAGATCCTCGGCATGGTTTTTGTCCGAGAGCGCGAGAAGATGCACCGACGACGAGCCGCGGAACGGAAAATCAAACGTGCGCGATGGGAACGCAGGATTTCCGAGCGAGCCGACGTTCTCGAGCGGACGTCGCGGTATTTTTGGAAACCATGACGAGGGGCTAGCTGTGATTGCACGAAAAAAAAGAGAAAAAAGAAAACACGTCTCCGCACTCGACGTGAGTTCAACGCGGTTAGCACACGTTGAATTCTCGAGACGCCGAGTACAGGCCTCGGGCTTAATTTATGCTGAGCATAACAACTTAGGGTAAAGAGCGCATAACTCGTTATTTATATAGATTAATATATGCTTTTGTAATATAGAGTCGACTAATATAGAGTTAAGAGAGTACAATAATATATTAACTTGCAGTTGAGCAATAAATGAACGAGAAAGCGAATGTCCTTGTCTGCGCTGTTTTGGCGCTGTCCGGTTTTCATACTCGACGAAAAGTCGAATGACAAAGCGTGCATTGAGAATTCATATTGAACGCGAGTCGCGGAAATAGTGACATCAACTCACCTGTTCCGCCTTTAACGTGAGCTCGATGAAGATCTGCTGTAACTTCTCGTTCACGAAATTGATGCAAAACTGCTCGAAGCCGTTTTTGTCGAAGATCTCAAAGCCGTATATGTCCAGAATGCCTATCTCGTATCCGTCCGTGTTTGTCTCCATAGCCGAGTTCACTCTCTGCGGAATCATTCGTCGTCATTCAATGAAGAATAACAAAAAGAGAGGCATTTGTAAAATTGCTCGCAGTTCCGAATTTTCAGCGCCGGAATGAACGAACAAGCGAATGGTGCGTTAAGATAATACCTTGACTAAATAGTCAAAAAGCCTGGCATAAATATCCTTGGCTAAAGCGTCCCTCGCATAAAGCGCCTGCTCCACGTTCAACGTCACGTCCACGCTCTCCGATTGACTTCCCCATTTCGACTCGAATTCCCGCGAGATTAACTTGTGTGACAGCTGCTCCACCGAGATTCCGAAGAGGTAAGCTGGAAACTCGAGAACTGGAAATACATTTGTACGAATGTGAGGGAATTGCTCCGATGAAAGCGTAAATGAAAATGGAGAAATACGTGGAAATTATATCGTTGACTAATCTAAACTACCCGGCATTGCTCAGGCTTCTTATATCTAGAACTTAAATCTAAAACTTAAATTATCATATCTGAACTGAAATTATCACAAAGTGTCAAGAAGATGAAATCAGTGGAAAGAGTGGAATATCTTTAGAAATTTTTCATGTAATCTATATTTTTCGTAGGGTTGTATAGAATAATTATGCAAAATTTAGTCCATCGGTATAAAAATTGTACGAATATCTCGAGAGAAACCGTAAAATTGGTACAATTATTCCATTTTTTATAATTTTAAAAACGGCTACGTTAGTGTATAGAGGAAGTATTGTAGATTATAAATATTTTTTGCTTTTTAACTTCAGATGAATCTAATCGGAAGAAATTATGCAAATTAACCAGATTGAAACGTCAAAGTCTCGAGTCTATTATAATTTAAAAAATGAATGACGATTAATGTAGACATACACACATATATCGAAATGATGGCTCTCAAATTATGTACTATTGTTTAAAAATACTTCATTCCGTTGCACTAAAAAATATTCCTGAAATTCACTTTCATTCTGGATCCTCCAAGGTGGCTGAACCCCTTAAATATATTCAACAATGCGAAATGGAATCGAGGGGAATAAAGTAGTACTTATTAATCCGAGTAAATTGCTCAAGTAAATTATGATTTAGTCATCTAATATACGTGGTGGCGTATATCTCTACTTCTCTCGGCGGCATCGACCTACTTACATTGTTCATCGGCTATTTGCGAGTAATTGCCATTCTCCGCAAACTGTATGTTTCCCACGTGAAGAATTCCAGCTACCACTCGGAATATATCCATCATTTCTGCGTCTTTTATTCCCATGACACTCAATGCTGTAATCAACAAGAAAATAATGAGAACAATGAAAATAATGAGAATTGATTAACAATAAGAATAGAATTTAGACACACCTTTAAGAGTGTCCTGAAAATCACGAGCGTCGTTCGTGCCGTCCACTCTATGATTGCCACCGTAACTTAAATATTGATAATAGTTGAGGTCCGTTAATCCAAATTCAGCTGTGAAATTAAAATTGTTCCCTTTAAATCATCAGCATAAATCCCTCTAAAAATTCTCTCATATCATCTTCCACACATTTGCTACATACAAAAAAAATAAATACTGCGTTCAAGAAAATATTACTTTTTTTAAATATTTTATAAGCTTGTACATCCGAAAATTTATCATAAGTATATCGAATTTGTTAAAAAAAAATTCTATATCCCAGTAGGTTTGGCATTTCAATCAAGAATATTAAAAAAAAAGTTCAAAGTTTGTCTAATACGCAAAGTGTCGAGCCAATATTTTCTTCGAAATAATTTTATAATATCCTTGTACAGAAAATTAAAAAATTCTTTTGATAAATGTTCTAAAATTTGTAATATATGTATTTTAAGATTATTATTAAGAAGATATTGTTTGTTGAAGATAATCATTATACTTTAGGGAAAAAAGGTAAACTGAATAATCGTTTTTCTCAGCAGTATAATGACATTTTGTTGTGTGTATAGTTTCACATGTTCGAAACATTTCCCCGTTTAACGATATTTTGGTTCCCACGTTATACTTACATTTCATCGCCTCATTAGCGCCCGTCGCCAGCTGATAAAATACATGGAAATTTCGTTCGCCGGGATTATGGCAGATTACTCTCGATTTTTCCAAGAGAAAATTCGAGATTTTGCCTCCATTCGGCTGACCGCCCGATCCAAACTGCATCTCGACGTATTTTCCCTGAACGTTTAGGAAACATTTTTATTCATTAATTTATTCAAATAGTCGAACCAATGAGAATTACCATGCATATTAATGACGATACGACTTGAAACGTACGAATCTACTGCTGTTGTTGTTCCTTATGGTCTTTGCATTGCCGAAAGCTTCCAACAGCGGGTTCGATTCCAAAATTATATCCTTCACTCCTTGTACTTTGTCGCCACCGCCGCTCACTCTCGTCACGTAGGACATTATGTATCTTGCGGCGACCGTCTTTCCGGCGCCGGATTCGCCACTGCGCAATGAACATTTTCAGCAAATGCTATTTGCTTCTGTTAAATCGAGGGAAAGGGCTTCTCTCTTACTTTTACCTGATAATAACGCACTGGCTTTCGTTGTCAATCAGCATGTTTCTGTACATCTCATCCGCCAGACCATAGATGTGCGGTGGATTTTCGTACGGTGCCTGAAGATTAATGGTGATAACGTTAGTGACAGATTTGGGTAAATTAATACTTTTCTAACTAAGTTAGGTTTAAAGTTAATGACTTGTGAAATTAACCTAACTATTTAAATCAACAATTATATGAACAAAAACTAACAGAACTGAAAGTCAAGTAAAAATTATATTAATTTATTAAAGTATATTATTAAATTGTATTAATTTATTAAAGTTAGAGAAGTTAATGACATAAAGTAATATATGTATTTTTTGAATAATTAACTTTTTAATCGCAAATTCAGTTTACGTGAATCGAAAAAGTAGTTTCTATAAGTAATCTTTTTCTTCATAAGAAAATGTATATTTTGTGCTTAGGATTTTATACAAGAAAAGAACACGCACTTATGAAGATGAAAAAAAGTTTTGCTAGCATTATTTCCAATTTATTCTACTTTATCTACAATATGATTTTGATATTTATGAATTATTTTAACTTATACAAATAAAAATTAATAAGTTATAGTCAATGCATTTTGAAATAACTGATTTAGGTTAAAAATTGGCTTCTTTAAAATTACCCGAATTAAATTAAAACTATTAACCTTCTAGCTTAATTTTTAACTGATCAATTAATTATTACCTAACTCTGGTTATAGAGAGCAATATTTTAATCTCAGCGGAATATGTCGACGAGAAAAATAACATTTTCACACTTACCGCGCCTTGGTATATTTCGATCTCCTTCTCCCCGAAATACGGCATCTGCTTGAAGGGATTGATCGATACCAGCACGGGTCCGATGCATGTCTAATATCCATTAAGGAGCGTCTTGCGTGTCATTGTCAATTAGGCTATTGTGATACTTGCACGTCAGAACTTACACGGGATATTATCGGGAAATAGTTCAGAGCTTTGCAAGCTTGCAAACACACTGACCTGAATAAAAAATGCTCTGTCAACATAGAATCAATCATTTTCAAAGTAAACAATGATTTTCTACAATGTGATATGAAAGCACAGAATTATCGCATAGAATGATTTTATCGTTTTACTAATTTAACCTGTCATAAGAGTCATCCTGTGTGTGTGTAAAAAATTGCTGTTGAAAGGATTGATCCGCAAATCTATGTTAGCTGAGCATTTTTTATTTAATTTAGTAAGTTACCTACACAAAGTTCTGAGCCACCTTTTAATAACGCCTCATGTACGTTTAACATACACTTACTTTATACACGCACAACATATACTTACTTTGCAAATGCCGACAATAAAAAAATAACGGCACTCACGTGATCGGAACAGAAAAGGATACGAATATATAATCGTCCATGTATCTCTTTTTGAGGTTCTCGATAATAGCGTCCTCATTGATCTTTGGAAGGAGGACCATGTCGTCCACGCCGGAAACCTTGACATTTTGACTCTGCCAGTGGTACACCTGAGAAAAATAGAGTAAATTAATAAATCTCTCGTAATTCAATCTCTTTAGATTGAGATTTGTTAATTAGATAAGGGAAAGACGCATTTATGATGTCTGATAAATTTCTGAAAATGCAGTAGTATCGACCGAAACGACGAGCACGAGGAAGACACTGAGCGCCCGGAATCCAATTACAATTTCTATGCCGTCAGTGTCAGAGGCGGTGTTCCCTCGCTCCGACACGGATCATCGATTCCATCGATCGTTTCCGCTCTTCTTTCGGTCGCGAACTCGGTCTCTGCGGTCTTACCAGCAGGATTACAATATCGTGCTCGCGTGCTTTTTCTTCTATTTTCCGAAATACGTTTCGATTCAACTGAGATGTGACTTACTTCGTCCGTGGTGTCAGCAACACGCCCAAAAAACTTATTCCACAAATAACCTTTCGTAAAGTATCTGTACATCTCTTCACACACAAGTTCTGTTGGATCAAATAATTTGGTTCGTTTGTCGTATTCGACACAGACGATAATTCACGCACGGGACACCGGTGAGAAGAGTCGCGCTTCGATTTGTGGATTCGCTCGCGAGGAAACTGACGCAAGTGGGCATCGTATGAATGGAAGTCCAGCGTGTGAAACGAGCATTCTCGGTTACACGTGGCATTGGAGAATATGAGAGAAATCGAAGTCAGCGCATATGAAACTTCCGGTCGGGCGACTCTCTTTCGTCAAATTCCGTCTAACAGGGATCCAGCGTGTCGTGTTAATTGCCTATCCCTTCCGTGACGCACTTTCTGGTATTATCTTGCAAGTTGTATTTTAAGCGACAGACATATTACCGGCTATTGTAGGATATCCGGTTAAGGTCGCGTAGCGGATTAAAACACGTGACAAGCGTGTTTATCACGCTATTAGCAGATGATACACAATAAACAGCTATGTGCATATTTTATCGCATGTATATATACGTCAGAATTACTAAGCAATTTTTTTAATTCTGAAAAATTCGTCTTCAATGTAATTCTATCGGTTCAAATCGACGATTGTGCCATATTATCATTTAATCATGATCATTTGGGTTTAATGACCGATACTGTACCGCGAAGCAATTTTCATAGACGTAACGCGCGAGTGCTCTCGTAAACAGACTATAACGAGGCAAATATGAGAGAAAGTGAAAGAGAGCAAGAAAAAAAGAGGAAGAGGAAGAATACAAATAGAGCGAGAGAGAAGGAAAGACAGAGAAAAGCGTTGTCGTGTTGCATACTCTGATTATGCTTACAATAGTATGCAGGGAAGAATATCACGGTCTGATTAACAATCTACAACAATAATAGTGAAAATAATAGTGAAACAAGGTAGTAAGATATGAAAGTAAAGATAGATTTAGGAAAATAGAAAAAAAATAAAATAAAGTTAGTTGAATAAAGAATTTAATAATCATAATAATTTAATAATAATAATTATTATTATTTAATAGGAAAACACTCTTTAGATCATACAAAATAAAATATACAGACGAACAGACAATGTAATCGGTGCAAAAATCTAAAAAAATCTTAATAAAGTCAAGCATAAAATAGAAAAGAAATAAGTTATTAATATAAAATAAACAAATAAACAAATAAAATTCAAATAAATAAGTTAAAGTACATAAAAGTGTAAACATACAAGTAAATCAAATACAAAAAAAATATGTACAAACATAATTAACTGAGTGAAAAATATTAAAGGCAAAAGGTAATACTTTATAAATTTAGTCAGAACGTTTAAATGTATGAGAGAAGTGTCTCGTTCATAAAAATAAGCGTGAGAGAGAAAGAGAGGGAAGGTATGTCACTTATAAAAAGAGGAAATAAAAAAAATATTGCGAAGATAACGCCCAACGCTGAATGAATCAGTAACAGAGAAGCTTTCAGGCTCTCTTTTCTCTCGTTACGACTCCACGGCTCAGCAAGACGATGCAGTTACAGACGAGCAAATTTTCTCAACAACGGCTGGACGCTCATGTCGAGCACGCGCCTCGATTGTGTCTCGAGCTATCATAGAGCCGGCTAATTAAGATCAGCGGGGGCTACTGACCGCGCCTAATCGATCGCATAATAGCTTGTAGGGAGAGAACCGCGCGTGCCGGCGGACCCGCACGTCGGAGCGGAGGCATGATTTCACGGCTTCCGTTGGGTCGCAATGAAATTGTCTGTTCGTTCACCGCAGTTCCGCCGGTATGGTCGCAGTCACGGAGATATGCATGCACGCGGCTGCAGCGCCGAACGGCCGGCGCATATATTCAGTCTGGAAGTAACGCGAGAGATACACGGCGAGTTATAAACGCGCGCGTTTGGCCGTACGTGATTTCCCCGGTGATTTCCTGCGTCGCGATCGGCCGTATCGCGACCGATACGTTGTTAATCCAACGGACGGAATCCGATTGCAGGGGAAACCGCCCATTGTCAATTGGACGATAAGGCAATCTGCCGTTATCGATAAGCATGTGGCCCAACAATATCATATAATGCGTTCGATGCGCGTATACGAGGAAACGTTTACGCATGCTGGCTTCCCGAGTCGAGAAAAGTTTCGATCCTACTTTCAGCCTATTCCATTCAATATCTATTTTGATATTCTGAAGATTATAACACAACCTATTTTAACGCTAAACAAAGTGAAAAGAGAAATCTCGGATATCATCAGAATCAAAGTAAATTATATCATTAGAATTAAACTTTGCTAATTTAGATCCTACTGCGTTGTAGAATTCAAGGTTTTAACATAGGATTAAATTTCGATTAAAATTTTAACATAGGATTTAATTTCGATTAAAATTTCGACTCGAGTAAAACTCAAATACAATGATAACGCGGCGATTTGCTTCGCCGAGTTTTCACACGTCGAGTTTTCTTCTCCGTTTCTCTGTTTTCTTTTTTCTCAGCGGAATATCTAGAAGTATAACTTGTTCGATGCGTAGAAGATTCGACCAAAGTTTCCAAATAATCCATTTCTGTCTGCAAAAAGCACCATTAACGGACTGAGACTCTCTTCTCGATAAATAAAGATACTTCCTGATAAAACGAAAGAAGCTGGTGAGGGTTGGTTAATTTAATCCTGGGATTTAGTCCCCTGTCTTAGTCGTGATAAAACAGTGATTCACGCAGGCGGAGACATCCGTCGACAGAAAATAATACGTCCTGGGATTTTCACAGAACAACTGTGACGTTACGTAAATAATCTGTAGGCGCCTAGGATTTACCTCAGCGGCTGGATAACGATGATAATAATACTATGAAATATGATTCAAGTCGTCTTACATAATAATAACTTTATTGGTTACAGAAGAAAAGGGAAAAAAATTCTAACAGTACAAGATCTCCTGGAGACGTCCAGGAACATCCTGGAGAGGTCTTGAGGACATAGGACATCTCCAGGACGTTCCTGGACGTCCTTTGGACATCTTTACTGTTAGGATAATAGTACAAAATATATACAACAGATTATGAACAAAGGACGAAGCAACAGCATTAGTTGCACAACTGCCTGTATGTGCAAAAGTTCGATCGCAATTTCCGAACAATCTGCATTGATATATAAAGAACTTTACTGACGAACTGAGAGATTGTCCCTTCGATAAATACAGACTCTTCCAATAAAAAGATGGGCACTGACGAGGGTTGTTCGATTTATTCTGAGAAACCTTAGTCGTGCTAAAACCGTGTGATTTACGTAGGCGGAGATGTCCGTCGATGGAAAAATGACACGTCCTGGAATTTTCTCAGAAGGATCGCTTCGTGGCGGTGCAGAAAATCCGTCAGCGCTGCATCGGTGTATCACGGCGGTCGAGTGACGATGATATTAAACCACGATCTCATGCAATGGCAGCAATTATACGCGTCTGTTGACCTTGTCCTACCACAGCGTGGTGCATCCTTCGGAACGATTAACAATGCCATGATTATTAGCACGCGAGGCAAGGCCGTGCTTGCGCGCTATCGTCGGATTTGTGTTTGCGCGCCTCCGATAAGAACGTGTGGACGTTACTTGGTTGTTGTCGCGATAACGATCATTCCTCTCTCTCTCTCTCTCTCTCTCTCTTGTCGCCGTAAAATCCGATTCGGATCAATCGATAATGAATAATGACTGAACGCGCACTTCTACATCTGCTTTTAAATCTAAATTAAATCGGGGGAGTGATCGAATCATGTGTACACTAAACTTCAATAAAGTCTTAATATTTATCAGCTTAACATTTCCCAGTTCTTTTAATTGTTTCCGTTATATCCTGAGTCGAAATTTTGATCCTATTTTCAGTCTCGCTATTCCATTCAACATCTATTTCGACGCCAAAGAAAGAGAAAAGGAAATTTCGAACAAGAGTCAAAATAGAAGTAAGTTGTATTATTAGAATTATTGTATTATTAGAATTAAATTACTCCTACTGCGCTGCAGAATACAAAGTTTAACATAAAGCCAAAATTTTAACTTGGGATCTGATTACAATATAACACGATATAATATGCCAAGCTGTCAAAATGACATATTAGCGCCGAATAATCGGTAATCATAATGATGTGCATGTGAATGATTACAAAGATTAATGAGTGTTCGGTAAATAAATATGGTGGACTTTATTGAAACTTGGCGTACAATCGAGCTGATTACTCCGATTCAAAGCAATAACAGATGCAGAAGTGTGTGTCGCAAGTCTCGCGTGGGCTGCAATAATGTCGTGAAAGAAAGAGGCCGGATCTCCTTTATGGTAAATGTTAATCAAGATCTCGTCGATGAATCCGGTAATCAACTACGCGCACACACCCATCGTTCCATTAAGCAAATATTTTATCGATCGACGGGACGTCGCGGCGGTTAACGTAAAAGCGAATCCCAGCAGGATGTTCCATTACGTCGACATCGATGGGCGCGATGTGCACTACCGTAAAGTTTCCCAGCGTGCAATAACTCTGGCAAAAAATGTGGTCTTAGAAGATAGAGAGGCCTGCCTGCGATATGCGTACCTCTTATCGAGAGGAGCCTCAAGATACGTCGTTACATGCACCGGCGACGATCGCTCCACATCGCTGTAATCGCTCTAATTTCCAGAATAGGCGATAGCACCATTACGCGGCTGCAATTGGAGTATTCCGCCTCGTGGCTAAAATTGTCGGATAATAAATTGCGCGCCACTCGTCGTGGAAATTGTGATTTATCGGCACTCGCGTCGTATCCGGATTTTCGCGCAGCTATATCAAACGACATAAAACGGCGATATCCGATAACACACGATTTTTATTGGAGAAATATTAATGTTTGAAAAAACGCTTGATAATATCCCAGCAATATTGGAAGAGGGTCTCGACTATCTCTCGATAAATCGATGTAATTATCGCCGAGAGAATGGAGAGATTTGTTCGTGTGCTCGTTACACTTGGATCTTTTTAGTTTCACACTTTTTAGTTTTAGTTTTGCAAATTATAAGATATTAGATGAGAGAACGGCTCTATGTACGTATGTGAATAATATACAGTCACAAATGAATTTTAATGCTCGAAATTCGGGGAAATAACAGTCAAACGAACTGATCTTGAAGCTAATATTGTCTTCAAAGTCATACAACGACCATCCTCAGCTAACAATAAATGTAAATAAATAAGAATTTAAACTAAACGCTCAAATAATCTAAAAAGAACTGCAGTGAATTAACCTATCTACATGTATCTTCTATCTCAAGTTAATCCATTACTTAAGGCGACTACAATTAAATCAAAATATATCCGAAATATATTTGATAAATTCAAAATTCATAACATTCTCAGAGGTCTAATTATATTTTTCATGTCCCATTTATACAAATTACTTGTTGAACATTACCTCATGTATATGATGTATATATTTTTAAAAACATGAACATTGGGATATATTATTTCAGCCTGCGTAATAAATATTACTTATTATATTAAAAGAAAAACATTTATCGAGCTTGGAGTTAAGGATTAAACGAATTCAATTTTAGAGTTGCAAATGACGAAAAAATTGCTCCAATTTTTTCAGTTTCTTGTTTGTTTAACATGAATTTAAAATTCAGTTCAACGAGGTGATCATAATAAAAGATGACTCAGCATATTAATGATTGCATTTGCCATCTGATTTACTTAATCATAGAGGTAAAATAAAAATTTTAATTTTAATTAAAAACTTTTTAATTAAATTTCACATTTAAATTTCAGATTTTGCAATTTAAATTCCTACGTCACTCAGATTATTGATCTGACTCGATTTCTATTCAACTTGCCCCGATACTGTAGCTTGTGCAATAAAATTTGCGCAACTTTTATTATAATATGTCTCCCTGCAGAGATTTTATTCAGGATTGAGATTCTTTTTACCAATTTTTTAGGATTTCTTTTTTTCATTGCAGCTATATAAGATGTAATTTTCTGCGAAAAAATATTAAATGATCAATATAATATACCAACAAAATTCGAAAAGATAACCTAAATTCCGTACCATTTTCAAATAACTCGGACACAATTGTCAACCTAATGCACTCGCGCGACTCATGACAAGTAATTGCATCTTCGTGATGGCAATCTCGGCGATAGCAACCGCTTCTTTGATCCCTGACTCGTAGGTGTCGAGCGTGTTAAAGCTAGCAATACGATGGACCATGGTCAAACGGAGATCATTCACCGAGAGATCCCCTCTTTCAGTGGCATCGCCTTTCACACGAAAGTGAGCCAGGAAAACGATGGGAACTGGTTCGACGAACCAGCTAAAAAACCTCGCTTAATAGCGGAAAACGTGACTCACTGTACGTGAGTGAGTGCGCGTGAGGTAATACCATAATCTTGTTTTATAAAGTTATAGAGAACGAGGAAGAGAGCGAGTCAGCGTGTGGATGTCGCGTCAGGAATTCCAATTGTCGTCCAGTAAATTTTCCAAATAATAAACCGATTCGGATAATAACACTATTACGCTGTTCTTTCGCATCTCTCAAATGGTCATTCTTGGCATTGTTTTTTTTTAAGAAGTTTTGATTTAAATAACAAAAAAATATGAAATTTTAACAATTTTTTTCAAAAAGGTTAAAATATCAATATAAAGTTTCGACCACATTTATTGTTATTTTAAGTATTATTTTAAGTATTATATTAAGTAAAATAAAGTAGTTCGCGATAAACTTTATTGTTATTTTAAGTATTATATTAAGTAGAAAATTATTTTTAAAAAATTAAAATTCTGCTCAAGTTTTTTGTATTGCGCCCACAACTGGACGGGATTTCAATTTTTTTAATAGTACCTTTATGTTTAAACAATAATAAATAGTATAGTCCAAACTCTATATTGATATTTTTATTCATTTCTTTAAAGAAAATTCGTAAAAATCGTCCTATTCTTTCGACTACTTACACACAGAGGAATTCTATTGTTAAAAAAGCAATTACTCAATTTACTTATCTTTTTTTAAATAAGAATTATCTTGAATAAAGAATATATTTACTTAATAAGACATAAAATATACTTATCACAAATTTTGGAGAAACTTATCACACGTACTGAAACGAAGAATTTATTCCTTCTATAAGAATATTATAAAATTTTCGAAATTGGTTCGAATCTAGACTTGTTAGGATCCAGAATATATTTTTAATGAATTTGATATTTATGATGAATTTGTGATAACCTTGTATATATATAAATTCATGAAATACTCGAAGCAAGTAACATTTATTTAAATGCAATGTATATTTTTATGTAAATCAATAGCTCCCCTTAATTTATGCGTGATGAAACAAGCTTTGGATTCATGGACACGAAAGCTGTGCTTCGTATTCGCAAGACACTCCGTCCTTACTTTAAGAAGGTGTTTCCTGGATCACTAATGTGACATATCGAAGAATTTTTATCCCGCCATTAAACAGCGAGAAAATGAATTACTTCCCGTTCATGGATCACGAGACAAAGAAAGGGTGAGAGGATGTAAGTGCATTCGTAACAAGGAGGATCACGCGAAGCATCTTCTCGCAATAGGAGATCGGATTCGGATCTCTTCCTCATGAGATCGATCCTTGCGATACTCGCAGTTCTATAACGTGGTTCGATTGTTCTCATTTCAATATTCTTGAATGAAGAACGTCTTCAATGAAAACTTACGCGTAATCAAGGTAAATTATTCTCGATGTAAGCAATAATGATCTCCCGCTGTGGCAATGAGTTCTATTTAGCAAATACGCTCGTTGAAAGTAAATATTCCGTCAAGGAAATATTTGTGACGTCACTGCCACGAGAAACCTCGTTACTCACGATCCAAGAGTCAAAGCGATACGTTACAATCTAGGATGAATCTAAACTTTGCCGCACGAGGTCAAGTTTGAATATCGTGTAAAATATATTTATATTCGAGGACCGATAGAGTTAGAACCTTGCAACGAATCCCGTAGGTAAATCCCGTAATATAAAAGAAAATTTCTGCTGTGTTATAGAATTTTATGAAAACATCCTCTAGATAATCCTCTAAATTATCCTTTAGATAATCCTCTAGACAATCCTCTAGATTAGAAATTTCTTCTAATGTCTGAAACCTAATGTCTTTTTAAAAGTTTCTAATGTCTTTTTAAAAGTTTTTATTACTTAGGATGTTTTTCTTATTTCTCATTTTAATTATTTTCCTTGTATTTTAATTAAAATTTTCTAATTTTTCTCCCTTCTCTCTCTCTCTCTCTCTCTCTCTCTCTCTCTCTCTCTCTCTCTCTCTCTTCTTTTTCTTTTTATTGAAATATTTTCTTTTATTTTAGTTATTTTCTTTTTATTTTATATATATATAATTGAATTTTTCTAACAAATTCTTTTCTTCTAATTTTTTTCTTTGTCTTACTTTCCTTTTCGTTTAACAAACAAAATATAAAAAAAAGGAACACGCTTTCTTACAATTTATTCTTCTCTTCAGCATATATCTCGAATAACTTCGCTCGATTTTGAAAAGTATCTCTCGAAAAGTCAACGAGACAATTGCGCTATTAAACTTAATTACAAGCTCAATTACCATATCGTCGAAATTATCAGTCCCACGAATCGTCTCGAATGATCACCTGACCGAGTAATCACCTTCAGCCGCTTCGTGCCACGTTTACACACATAACTCACAACAACACGAAGAACAACGGTCACACTAGATCACTCAGCCGATCCCGTTCAATCCTCGCCAATGATGAAGACACACGAGAGAGACGCGAAGCCGAGAAACGCGAACACATGCGCCCAACGATGTCGACGGCTTCGTAGTCCGTCGCGCACTGAAACGACTCCGCAGTGAGTCACAGAGTACCGGTATCGGAACGGACACTCGCCTGCCTTCGTAGGAATCGTCATCGCGTCCTGGGGGACACGACGAGCCTACGACATCTTGACATTATTGGAATTCAAATTTTCGCCGAGACAGATCACTTCAAATTTCACTCGTTATTCCCGATTACCCTCGATTATTGACAAAATACAGTTCGTTCACTTATACCGCCCGCTACAATACGACCGGAAACGATCGTGCAATCATACCTAATTCCAGACAGCATAAGATCGTCCAGATGATTCTGAGGACATTCTCCAGACGTAGGGACGTTCTCAAAATGTCTTTAGATCTGTGGAGATCTGTGCTGTTTGGGAATAATTCTTAACTTTTTAAGACCCCCAGGTATCGATCGCTTTTCAGTAAAAATTTTTTTCTTCATCAAATTGTCTTAAAAGACACTTCTGATAAAGAATATTGTGATCCGGATGAAATTGACCATTGAAAAATACAATTATTTGAATGTGCATAATTATGTACATTCGGTTTTGCATTTGTAGCTCTCAGCTAGAGAATTTAATAAATTCTATAACAATGATAATGTGTTCTACTTTAAGATAATGTCGATAAAAAGTTAAGGAAATAAAATATACTTTTTTCTTCGTGAAAAACTTTATACAACTTCTAGTACCGACGATTCTGCTCTGCCATATTAATTTCTTTAACAGAAAAATCACTGTTTCACGATTTGGAATGAAAAATACATGTAGAATGGTGGGATCATTAATATGCTAATATAAAAAATTTAGGAAGGATCTAAAGTGAACGTATACAATTGTATGTATATTAGGCCTTAGTTGTTATATAGAAATATCAGGTCGCTCCTTTCACTGGTAAAGTAAACTGAAGTGTTCACGAAACGTTAGAAAAATACACAGAAAGAAAACCTTGCTCCACGTTGAAGGTCAAATTCAGTATTTATCCACACCTCCAAAACGACAAATACCAAATTAACTGTTTACACGTTTTCAGCGTTAGCACGCGAGGGAACGTCAGCGCGACAAGTGATACTTCCCTTTTACAGGCAGGCGTAGTCCTCATGTTTTGCCTCCCAAGCACACGCCACACAGCTTGCGTACCTTCAAGGTCGCCGTTGATTCACTTTCCACGAATGACCTCGTTCAAACTCGCGACAAACTTGCGGTCTCCTCGCCTAATCTTCATGACGATGCATCTCCACACTGCACGAACATTTCAGAGACTAAAAGTCGCTCGCCGCGCTGCTAACAACTACAGTGATCGTTTTGCATCGTTTTGTTAGAAAGCTTAGATTTCACCTGTCATTTCGCAGAAGAAATCTGTCGCCGGCGCGTATCTGCGCCCGTCTAATTGTCAGACTGCGAAAAACGATCGATTGCATTTATCATAAGCCTGCGTTCGCGACATAAGTGGCGGAGAAATCACAGTGGCGTGTCCGCTCTTAGAGTCATCATACGATGATTCATAACTATATACCTGTATATGTCATATCGTATGTAGTCATTCGCAGATATTGTATCGTCAAGACGTCACCTTCGTTTTCAAACAACCAAGTGTAACCACGTTGTGGCGTTTCTCGTTATCATCTCGTACCTGCCGATTAGATTGCCTTATTGTCAACTTCGCTATCTTCGATATCACGATTCCGCCTCAATATTCATATAGACATCGCCGACTCAAATAAACAACGTTGACTTATACGAAAGTTGACTCTCAAAAGACATAATTGTGTTGCGAAAGCTCGCGTTAAATGCAACAGATCTCAAAGCGATAGTTCTTATCTTGCTAACACGATGATTATATCGATAGAAAATAAGTATACGTCGTTCACTCTTATCTTTGGAAAGATCTATTCTCTTCCTGCATAATTAGGTCTACAAAGCCAGCCGACATACGATTACAAATGCTTTTAATAGTACATAACTCAGACAGCACGAACTCATAAAAAACGTCTTAGAAACATTTCAAAGATATGTAAACGTCTAAGATATGACGTCTAAATAAAATGGTGGAATCCGCAAGATAATTGTTTTAATTTCTTCACCGCTTAATACGTTTTTCACTTAGCTCGTATTTCGTGTTTATTCGATTAAGATCCGTTTCCACCACGTACTTAAACGTCGATTAAACTTTCACCCGACTTTAAATCTTTGTCGGAAGACGGATTTAATTCAGGTTAAGACTTCATCGATGTTGGTGAAACCGGGCATAAGGAGTTTATTCACCAGGTATATTCAGGGCGCGCAAGGAGCGTATTTTGCTGGCGCATCAAAGCAAGCTACTTATAAATTCACTATTTATCAAACAAAATTACGTTTTTATATATTTATTTCATCTATCTAACTGACAAATATTACCCAAGTTGAAATTTTGGCTCTATGTTAAACCTGGAATTCTACAACGTAGTAGGAACAATTAACAAAGTAGATTTAATTCTAATGATACAATTTATTTCTGCTTTGATTCTGACGATGTCCGAAATTTCCTTTTTTACCATCTTTAACGTCAAAATAGATTGTATTATAAGCTTCAGAATATCAAAAAAGTGTTGAATAGAATAGTCAGGCTGAAGGTAGGATCAAAATTTCGACTCGCATAATTTGAAACTAATTTCGATACTACTTTGTTTCATCCAATAAAATGTTACTCGAAGCATAAAACAGCAATTTTCTAGCCTACAATCGAGCATTGCACAAAAACAGTATAATAAATACTGTGCTTTCTTCTATGCGTCTCCTAATATGTAATATTTATAACGGTAAGTTTTTTATTTGGATTTGGATGGTATCACAGTGTGCAGACAATCGCACGAAAGTTCAACTACGAATGTGTTTTACTGTCATAAATGTTACGTTAAATATGTGTATGATTCTAATCATCTTCTTGGTTTAAGTGAATAAACTCCTTGAAGAATCGAAGGTGCGAGTACGTGTGAGAAGCCGTTCCGCTTTATCCACTGTCGCGATCGAAGGCTGTGAAAATCGCGTAAGGACGCATCCTCGGCGAAGCATTTCGTGTAGTTAGTTAGTTAGTTTGCAATGAAATGTCTTGTTTATTCATGCATGCGATACAAAATTTCAAGGATTAACAGACCAGAAGAAAAACGCACCCCTCATATGACTACGACTGTTCGCTACAATTTGCAAGCGTACAAAAAGTGTACATACGAATGGAGATTGTAGAAAGATTATCATCGTTATTTCGTTTTGATTAGCGCAGAGCTCCATTCTCGTCGTCGCGTCGGCCGTTTTTAATTAACATTGCATTTACACTTTGACACTCACCGCCACATTTGTACACAATGTAGTATTTAGCCCCTCTGTGATAAATTACTTCCGCTATCGCGCGCGTTCGTATGATGGTTTGATCGATTGGTTGATATTCGCACACACATACGCGCGGTACAGCTACCAGCGAATAAATTAGTTTATCCATCGAAGTATCAAATAAATTACCTAACGAACTAATCCCGAGAACCTCAGAACGTATAATTGACTATTAAACCTAACGTACATAGTGTATGTCTGTCTGTTTGTTTGTTTTATATGTATACGTGTATACATTTACGCGCGAGCGCATGTTTGTATATGTTTATATGTGTATGTGTGTGTGTGTGTGTAGGCTAGATATACATTTACACGAGAGCCACGCGCCCGCAACGAAATCAAGTAAGTACAGTGGAATCGAGGCTACGCTAATGCTCGGCAAATCACTGATCGTTTACCGGAGAAATGTCGACAATTTTACAGCTTAATTATTAGATTATGAACTAACGGATCTGAATCATATCGGAAACGCAACGTTTGAGTTACGTGTATTCTTTTTTCTTCTTTTTTTTGTTTTGTTTTGTTTTTGATATATACGTCCCGTGTGTCGTCCGCTTCTTCGATTGATCGCGCGGCTAGGACCTCGCGCGATCCGCTACAATATTCACACACCTCTCTAACATCGCAGAACACCTCTTATGTCCCTTATGTACAGTCGCGAATAACGTATCTCTCTCGCCGTAGCTCCATAATTTAATTTCACCTGGTAACTTCGGGGAAGTGTGCCGCGCGGTACTGAGAAGCTGCGTGCCACCGTTAAATCGACAACGAGCTTAAAACACTTGATATTATTCGCGTTCTGTCCACTAGCGTTACGAACAGCTCTCTAGTTTCGCTACTCGAACTTGCCACATTTTAGACCGAGCGTCCACTTGACTCAGGTTTACTCTCCAAAGCGACCGTGCCGTTGACAGGGACACGCGACGATTACAATCAAATTAATTAGCTGTGTGTTTCCGTTTTCCAGAATTTTACCGATGAGAGCCGCCTTCGGCGAGAATGTAACTCCCAACGACTGAACGTGTAACATCGATTCACCATGTATGTTCGAGAGTGATTTCCTTTTTACACACGTCCATCGAATAATTTCACTCTCTTGTGCCTTCGGAAATTCAGCAGAGCCACTCGGACTGATAGATCGAGTCTTAAGAAGTGGCACATCGAACTCCCGCGTCCCGATTCGAATCTCTTGCCTCTTTTCCACTTCTTTTTTTTTCTTCATTTTTACATCGATTGGCCCACCAGCGGGTGTCCTTAATTAATATCTAGAGTTACATCTTATTACAATTGACCTCCGTTTATTTATACAATTAGTTTGTCGCGCGCAGCGTTCTCCTGTTCCCGCGAGATATTTCGAATCTCGTCCAAAATGGCCATAGCAGCGTACGTGACTCTTCTCGAGGAGTATTGACGGGAATTGGCGACGAGACGGAGAGTACAATAGATAGAAGATTCGTTAAGCACATCTCGTCGTTGAATCTCCGTTCCATCACCTTTACAGAGTTTGGAACGTCACATTTTTGTCAAATTTGAGTGATTGATAACGACAACATTACAATTTCTACACAAAGAGCATGTCTTCTTTTTTTTATCGCGATTGAGCACTCATCTTCAAATTCCGAACAGTATAAAGATTAAGGAAATTGCATGACAAAACAAGTTTGTTAAGGATTCATTCAAATTTGCACTATGTATAAATTCAAATGTTATCTAACTGTTCACAATTAGAAAAAGATCGACTATCCAAAAGTTAAGATGTTTGAAACCAAAATTGTCACTTTTTATACGTGATCTTTGATGTTGACATGTTATCTCAAATTTCTATTTTTATTTTGTAAACTAAAATATTACAAAATTTTAATAAAAAAATTACCATAAAAAAATTACCATAAAAAAATTACCATAATATTAAAGAATGACATACCGATGTACAAATTTCTGAATTATTGTTTAAAAAATATAGCGATGGGAAGTTTATAATTTATAATAAATAGAAACGCGCGTAATTTTGTTCGATAAATGATAAATAGTCCACCTTGATGCGCTATTGAAAATACGACGTTGAATCTTACAATCTCCTTAACCTAATCGAATATTTTTACTATATCTAGCCTCCATTGATCGCCGCCTTCATCGGCAATGATACATCCTATTTCGCACAGTTACCGCTCTAATTTTTTAGAGCCGTCTGTACTCAAGATGGAGAGGCCTTTATTGTTGGTTTGCTCGGAGTAATTTTTCAAACTGAGAAATTGATTTCGGAAGAAGTCCGATGAACGAGTGAATCGCGCAATTTCGCAAACAGGAGAGCGCTGTCGGTACGACGAGATCCTCGCGGATCCTCGTTAATTCACTTAGTTTCTTGTTCTACTCTTTTTTCTCGAGCTATCTCAGTTTTGTTTAGCTCAGGGAGAGAGAAGGATGGAGGGGAGAAGGGCAAGGATATCGAGCGAATTCAGTGACACAAGGGGGTGTGAAACAGCGTAGGCACTTTAAGGAAAAACGGATGACAGCGAGGCTGTATGTCCACTCGAGAGCAGGAGCTCTCCTTCTCCTCGGGAGCCACTGTCAACGATCCTACGTGGTGAAGCATAGGATCCGAGGTAATTATCGCGAGTGTTCCTTGCAAAAAAAGAAAAAAAGAAACTTTCACTGTCGACAGCTGCTTTCGAGAACAAAACCCTCAAGCGGGCATTCAGTCTAGAAGACGGATCAGGACCTGCTCGAACCGTCACTTGGGTTGATATTAAAACAGTACGAAGCAGAAGCGTCGTAGTTCAATATGCGAACTTTAGCCTATCGAAGTGTATCATTCTCACTCCGTGACGCGCGCGAGAGCGTAGGTGCATGGCCGTTGGATGCAACGGATGTTCGCGTGCGAATGGAGAAAGAAAAAAGGAAACACAGATATGGAGGAAGGAATCTTCCATATCTGCGCGTGACAAAAGATATTTTGATTTTCTGAAGTCTCCTCTCTCTCTCTCTCTCTCCCTCTCTCTCTCTCTCTCTCTCTCTCTCTCCCTTCTACGATAAAGTCTATATTTATATAAAAATACGCAGTTTTCGCAGCCGCGCACCCACGCTCGCACGACATCGCGGCCGCAAGAACGGAGAACCGACAGCGAATAAATTAGCAGGAAGTCTCGCGGATTAGACGTCGCCATTCGGCGCCATGTTCGTCACCGCGTTATATCGCTGCACGTATATCTACGATTATCTACGAAAACAATTGCTTCTTCGTTGACCGTTTAAAATAACCTAAAGCTCCTATAAGTAATAGTGTCACCTCGTTTTAGCGATCTGTGTTGTGTACACAGAATGTCTCAGCTTCCACCGCGCGACTTCACCACGACGGATTCTCCGTGCAGCAATTCGGAATTGACACCGGACCGCGCTCGAAGATGGACGATCCGCCGTCGCGAAATAATGCGGTGAAAATGAAATATATACGCGTATATATATATATTACACATTTCCCCGCTTCTGTATGCTCTCCCGCTCGTCTCTTCAATGTCAAAATATTCTTTTTATTCTGTTTATTATTACTGGCACGCGCGCGTGCGACGTTGCGTGTAGCACGCATGTATTATGCGTTTTATTTCGCACTAGCGCGGGGCAAAGGCCCGCGTTTGGAGAAAGAACATTCACAGTTCTCGTCCTTTTCATAGTTTAACACGATATAGGCCATTCAAGAACCAACATCACACTAATGTTATTGTGTGTTATATGTATATATGTATATATTGCAAAATATTCCCGCAAACCAATCGTCATTTCGTCGAGGAAACCGACCGAATTCAGTATTAAACCGCAGAAATATCAAGGGGAGCTGAGTGAGATCGGCCGTGAAGCACCCCGCCCGGGGAGAAGAAAAAAGAAAAATAAAAGAATCAGTAAATCAGTTGAAAAGCATTGTGTGTGGACGACTGACGAGTGTGAGAAACGCATAGATATACATATCCCGCTCGTACAATTAAATACAATCTTTACACATCTTTTTTACACAAGAACTCTCCCGCGCATCGAAAGTTACACGAAATTACAATCCCTTGGACTGACTCATCCTCCTCTCGACCCAACTCCTCGTTGTCTCCTTCTCCACTTCCGGCCATCCCTAGCTTCAAGCAACACTCTCTTAATCGGCTCTCGCGTCCGAAGCACTCACGCTCGTGCGACCAAGCTGCGACGCGACGGCGCGCAACGGAGGGTGGTTGGTTGGTTGGTTGGTTGGTTATTTGGATGGATACTTGGTTGGTTAGTTGGTTGGTTGGTTGTTTGGTTGGTTGGTTGGTCAGATGAGTGGGTGGGAGGAGGGGGAAAGAGGAAAGGCGCACATGTTCCTTTTTCCGCGACTGGGGCCGTATCTCTCAGTCACGAATCCATCCGCGACTTGGCACTGAAGGGAGAGAGCGCTACGCGACGACATAGGACGACCTCGGCCCGGTCATCTTGTCGCATCAGAATAGGCCGAGCTTGGTCCGCAGGAACTCCTTAATCGGAACGTAATATTGGCTCCTTAAGGCCACCATTTCTGGCGTTTTGCGCAGGCTATTGAACAGCGTCGTGTCCGTCTCGAACACCAAGACTGTCACGATGAACAGCACCGTGATCGTCAGCATAAACGCCGGTATGAAGAGCCTGACCACGCGCAGACTTTGGTGTCTGAGCTTGCCGTTCGCGTGACGACCTAGATGATGATGCTGTTGCTGTTGCTGCTGCTGATGTTGCTGTTGCTGGAGGCAGAGCTTCGAATTCTGCAGCTTCTGCATCTTCGGTACTGGCGTAACCGAGCGGCTGTGCGGCTTGCCGGACGCATCCAGCAGCTGACTCTCCGACGAGGAGTGGTCGAAAGAGTCTCTAAAGTAGTAGTCGTTCGTCTCGCCCTCGTGACCGACTGCAACAGAAAGGACATTACCGATGTTATATTGAACGGCTGCGTCGGTGAGCGGCTCGAAGGGACGAAGACTTTGCAGGTGCGGAGGCTCTGACGATCCTACTCCAAGACTCGAAATCGCGTTCGTGGAGCGAAATCCTTTTTTAAGTACTTTCAGAGAAAACCGCATATGCATACATGTACGTAACGATACATAGTTGACGAGTACAGTTTGATGTATAGTTTGAGTATAGTTTGATGGGTAAAAGAGTCAAATCAACGACAGGCAAGCGATCGCTTTCCACGAACCGATCCTGCAGAGAAGATCGACAGACAACTGCTGCGCGTGAACTCACGTTTATGCGTGCATTCTCCCGACTGATACACTCTCGCAATTGCAGCTAGTACTTTAACGACCCGACTATCGTATTAGCCAACGGATGGCTTGGCTATGAGACGGACGGAACTTTCGTTGGCCCATGGAAGCAATCTGAGTCAGCGAAAGTTGGGCAGCCCGTCCGATCGATACCTAGTCGATCGAGTACGACGGAGAAGGCGAGATATCTCGCGGATCTATCCCGGGGAGCGACGTGTCGCGAACGCTCGGATTGATATACGTGTAACAGGCACAAGCTCATGCAGACCGCAGTGTCGATGCGTAACATAAAGGTAGAGAGACGAAAGAAAACAAAGCAGAGTTCAAAACAACACGCACACGTAAGGAAGAGATATATAGAAAAAGAGAAGGTAAAGAAAGAAATGGAGAGAAGGAGATGAGAGAGAGAAAGAGAAAGAAAGAGAGAGAGGACACACGCGAGCGGAACCGTCGTCAGACAACGTGAAGGGTATGATAAAGAGCGATTGACAGATAGAGAGAGAAAGAAAGAGAGAAAGAAAAAGACAAGAGATGGAGAACGTTCTTACAGTTTTCTCTCTTCACTCTGGACCTTCGTACTTACCTGGCGGCCCTTGTCGTCTCAAGCGATTAAATCCATTCGACAATGCCGAGCTGGACATAGCCAGGCTCGCGCAGCCGTTGGCGGTGATAGTCGTCGGCGTAGTTGTCGATCCGCCGAGCTCGCTTACCTCTATGCACGTCTTACCATCGCGTTCGTCGCGATCCAAGTACGGCCAAGAAGCCGGCGTCGCATTCGCCGTGCCTCTGGCCAAACGTCGGCCGTTGACGTTTGCCGGTGCCTTCGAGCTCTTAATTATCAGAGCGGTCGATCGCACCACCTTCGGGCTCCGCTTGTTAGTCAGGGCGTTAATACGTTGCCGTACGACGTGCTCGATGTCGCGGCCCGCCAGCTCCTCCGAGCCTATCACTATTCTCTGACTGTACAACGGTTGCGGTCGGTTCAGCGTGCTCTTGGGAAATTTCAGTTTGGCTTTCGCGCGGTTTGTGGTGGTGGTGTTGGAGGTGGTGGTGGTGATGGTGGTGGTGGTGGTGGTAGTAGTAGTAGTAGACGTGTGGGTGGCACTCGCATGCGTATCATTTTCGTCTACGGCTAAAAGAATAGAAAGAAACAGAGAAAACAAATCAACCAAAGGTCTAAGAAGCCAAAGAAGCGGCGGTCGTAGAAAGAGGGACACGACGGACCCGCGACTCACTCGCGCGCGCGATATATTACCGGCCAGCACCCTCGGAACTTGCAAGGCGCGGAAAATTTGCATTTTCACGCTGTTACGTACGGTAATTGAAATCGAGCGAGTCCCCGCTTCATGAAGAGTGAAATGTCGCGAGAATAATATGGGAAGGTTTTGTTTTTTAGTATCGTTCAAACATTTGCGTTGCGCGTGTTTTATGAAAATACGATGACTGATTTCGTTCCATGTTGTTTTGCGCCGAAACTGTTCAAGTGAATCCGCGAATACTCTCTTTCGTTTGCAGTGTCGCCGAGATGTGTACAGTCATGGAGCAAAAGGTTCTCCCTAATTTTTGGGGTGAGTTTGTGAACTCATCCATCTCGCTCAATGGCAGCATTCTTCCATTAGAAAACGAATCCTCCCATTGGATAAGACGGTTGAGTTCACAAATTCACCCCAAAAATCACAGACAATCTTTTAGACCACGACTGTGTACGCGTGTTCTGCGTAATTATATAAATATCATGAAACACCGACGCACGAAATTTCAGACTGACTGAACGAAAGATTATATCACGCTCTTCAAGACGGCGGTGGTATACAGTAACCAGCTCTCTCTCGCATACAGTAACTGCCCATACACCTTCTGTCCATGCACTAACTTCTATCGGTAACATCGAACATCCTGTTGCAAAGATACCTGAGCGACCTGATCTGAACGTCCGTGATGTCTGACCAAAAGAATATACATTTTCGCATAGCAAAATTCGCACGCAAGCTCTAATTATTAGCAAATCGATAATATTCGCTGCGCTTCACCGTCGTGACATGCGTCGCGGCGAGCAACTCGAATGGGCTGCCGAACGAATTTCGGGAATCCAACGTTGTGGGGGTAAAAAAAGAGGAAAGAAAAAAAGATAGAGAGAGAGAGAGGAAGAGAAAGAGAAAGAAAGAGAGAGAGAGAGAGAGAGAGAGAAAAGGCAACAACACGGGCGTCAACTAACCATTGTTTCTCCTGGCGTGAATCTCTTGGTCCTCGGATACGGTCTCCAGGAGGGGCAAGGTATTGTCTGGACAGTAGGGGGAGCTGAGGGGAACACCCGAGCCGCCCTCCAGCATCCCGGCGCCGTCCAGGCCCGCGCTGTGACAGCTACGCGGCAGACTGGAATATCCTGAAACGCGAGGATCATGCGATTCATACCTTGAGACTCCGTGCGACCCCGAGGCCCGATCCCCGTGCAAACCGTTCGCTTGCGCCGTCCTTGTACGGTAAAACAATGTTTACCGTGCGATCAACAACGGCGTCTTCTCTCCTCTCGAGGCTCTTTCTGATTTTTTTCTTTTTTGCCACCGATCTCGATCAAACAGAGAAATGATTACTTCTCCGTTTTCTTTCGTTATTTTCTCTATTTTCTTATCTTCTTTTTCGGAGCCGTTTCAAAGCAGCGCGCGCGCGCGGTTGCGGTACCGTCAGTCAACCGCGGGACTCATAATTAGTCCAGCAAGCTGGGCCGAGCGGTAACTTCGTAACACGTGCGCTGCCACGTACACTGGACGTGTAACAACACGAGGATTCGCAATTACAGCGTAACGGAACAATCCAAGTACAGCAGACGTCATAGGTACTTTAACATTATAATTAGAGTTACTATAGTATGATTTCCAACGTTACACACATACAATGTGTCGGGAGTTGAAAACCGTAGGGAATTCTGGTCACTTGTACTTACAACAATTTGCTCTCGAGGAAATCGAAACCTAGAGAACATTGAATGCAAATCATATTTTAATAACAATAGTAATTAATCGTTAAAGCATATATGACACCTGGAGTACGATCGTAAAATAAACTTTTTGCTTCTTCTCACGACAGTCAAAAATATTCAATACTTGCTACATGACAATTGCACTTATATTGCACAGCCAGAAAAATGTAATCTCGTCCTTAGCGGAGTCTTCTTGTATATGGCGTCAAGAGGATTCTTCTAAAACCAAAAGGAAAATATTCTAACGCTAAAAAAAACTCTAGTTGCAAAATGTTATTTTCTGCATGAAAAAAAAGATTTGGTTAGATTAACCAAATTTCTGACAAACGAACCAGAAATTCCGATTGAAATTATCAGTATTCTGTTAAGTTAACAAGATTTCTGGATTCAGAAATTTCAACCGGAATTTTGCGGTTTGTTCATATCTTACCACAGAAATTTGATTGATTCAACCAAATTAAGAAAAGTTTATTCATAGAAATAAGTGTTATATATCCCGTAAATATAAGTTTTCAAGCATTTTTTCTCAGTATAGAGTTCTTCTTTAGGTGTTAAAATATTTTCCTTCTGATTTTAGAAAAACCAGAAATTTGGTTATACGTTTCTTCGGTAATCTATCTATCAATCTTCGGTATTCTAAGGGAAAACTTTCATCGAGACAGATTCCTCTTTTAATGAAGAGAGAAATAATATCGTGCTTAAAATATTCTTCTTTTGGTTTTAGAAGAATCCTCTTGGAGGTATATATATAACAGGATCCAGCTAAAGATGAAATTATATATTTTTGAATGCAGGAGCAACGTGCTTGTCACCAAAATGTCACGGCTCCTGCTTGACTTCGACCTGAGATCACTCCTCTGCGTTTCTAATACGATTGCATTAATTACCAACTGTTGACTTCGATATCGTCGCCGTCTCGCAATGATCTCGCACAATTGAACGATTAAAAACTATTGAGACGCTGAGAAGAAAATTCTACGACAACATTACCCCTACGGAACTCTCTGTTATTTCCTATCGATTACTTCTTTCCTCTATTTGGAACGGACTACCGAGTAAAAAGTGGCACGATAAGTAAATTACATGACGATAAAATGAGGAAAGACGAAGAAGACTTGGAGGGGAGCGAGCTACTCACGTATCTCGACGAGGTCCTGGCTCGGCGTGCTGGGAGTAGCCGGCACACTGCTGGCCTTCCTTCTCAAACACGTCGTCTGGCAGCGTTGTATCAGCGGCTCTTCCTTCCGGAGCGGTCCAGACTCCTCCAGGACCTCCCTCTCCGTCCTTCCGGTATACTTAAACTTCGTGCCCCATGAGAAGATAGAGCCGCCGCTCACTACCGGCGCGTCCGACGCTCTCGGCAAACTGCGCACATATCATGCATACACGCGTTTAATTGAGCTATTAAACTACTCCGAGCTGTTTAATCAGTAACCAGCAATAATTGAGAAACCCATCTTCATTGTTCTCCTTCAGGCCTTTCGAAAATTCTCTCAAGTGAAAATTTTCGGCAATTCGAGCACGCGCAAACGTGCACAAAAATAAGTGAAAATCCGTTTAACTGTTGTGCGCGGCGTTTGAAGAAGATGCAGATGCGCGCTTAGCTTAAATTATCGAACGTAATAACGTTTTTAGCCGTATAAACAATAGTGGGTTGTAAAAAAAAGAACGCGAACTCAGGCTCCGCCCGCACCGGGATCCAATAAACGTGAGAATTTATGCTCGCATAAATTTCCCGAGCGGGACCGGCCCGGGGAGTCCCCGATCTCGTGCTCAACTCGAAAGCGATGTCATTCGCGTAGCGAGCCGCGGAGGCTACGATATTAACTCGTCGAATTGGATCCGCCGATAACGCCGATACGCTGATCGGATCGTAAAGTACCTCCGAATGCTTTCAGTAAGATGTTTTCGCGACATTGGGAACTTGGGAGACGCGAATTTTAATCCCTAAACGACAAGGTGAAATTGTGGAACATAGATAATAAGGTAAGATCACGCATAACTCCAATATTTTCCGAGTTTATGTGTTCTCTTCTGCATTTTAAAATTCGTATTAAGATAAATAAATGGTAATTTAGCAAGAATATATTCTTTTTATTGCATACAAAATATCTTTCTAACATACAACATCTTTGTATATGGCACAAACATATCACAAAGTTTTAATGGATTGTGTTGAAAAATATATACCGAATAGAGTTATTTTGTCGTTGAAGGATTAAGATTAAGATTACTCCTTGTATCTCGCCGCGGCCATGTTGAATTTGTGACGTCAGAAGTGAGGAATAACACGAAAGTTGCGTACCATTTCTAAATAAAGATAAATACGAAAGAAAGAGCGCTTGAGATCACTTAAAATTAAAATTAGTACACTTAAAACATAAAATTTTCCGAAAACTATCCTTTTGCCTTGACGATTAGTAAATAGTCGTATAATAAATGATGAAATGAAGCGCGCAGACAAAACAGACTCATTTCATTATTTCACGTATCTCATTTTATCATTTCTTATACTATTTATTGATCACAAGAGTAAAGAATACCTTTCGAACAATTTTATAAGTGCACTCAAGCAATCTCAAATGCTCTTTCGTTCATATTTATCTTTGTTCAGAAATGACATGCAACTTTCGTTAGCATATCATTCCTCGCTTCTGACGTCACAAATCCGACATCGCTGGCGAGACACAAGAAGCCTTAAGTATCGACGAGAACGTTTCCCTACATTAAACCGGAATCGCTCGAGTAACAAGATGCGAGTCGCACATTTTTCATACACCCGACTATAAATTTATCCCATAGTCCTGATCAAGTTGATCAGATTGAATCAATTATTCGGTTTGTACGAGATGATGTTATCGGATTTTGATAAGTCATGTCACGATACGTGGCAATCAAGACGTTAATAATAATAAGCATTATTAACTATAATCTGGCACAATGGAGACATTTTTGACCCCAATCGATTTTTAATTGAATGTTGCAAACTAGCGTAATGAGGACTTTCAGTTCTCGTGCCCAAAGAAAGTTATAATTAATTGGAATGTGAGGTTTAAACACTGTTGAGCTGTTTCAATTGCCTGTCATATGAAAAAGGACAAAACTGCTTTGAAATCGCTCTGACTCAGTTGCAAAGTATAAAATGAAAATGCAAAGGTACAATAAACGTTTTTTCTATATATATTTCGATTCTTTTTACATTAAGTTAATATATAAAAGAAGTTTCTCGTATAATTAGCTTGTTTATTTCTAACTCTATTATACGCGATCAAGCGTTTCACCACGACACGCAAATCTAAAATGTCAAAGCAAATAACTGATTGGGATCAAGCTGATCAGCAGCGTGGGGTAAATTTCTGGTCGGACGGGCGAAAACTTTTACGTGGACAACGCAACGGTACCTCCGCCGCGAGAACTAAGAAACGTCAATTTGAGCACGTACCAAACGAATTCGCGAGAGATTGCAGGATCCGGGACACTCAGCCCCGCGTACTCGTACCAAGTTTCGACTTCGACGAGTGGCACATTGCTAACGAGCTGCGACGCGGACGCGCATACGCGCCGCCGACTCGCGCTCGATATTTAACGAGTGAAGGATCCGACGGTGAGGGAAACGTATCTAAGTAACTTTTGCCGTCGCGTTCCATCAACAATAGAGCAAATATTCATTTCTGTCGAATTGTCAACTCCCGTGACAAAAAATACCCGAGAATCTATTTCGTATAAAGTTTATTCACAGAAATAAAACTTTGCACCTCACAAGTAAATTTTCAAATATTTTCTCCCTGCTGGTATCAATCGATCAAAATTTTCTTTGACTAAAGTAATCGGCTCATTAATAGACAAAATTGATCAATAAAATTAAAATCGAATAAAATTATTAACACGACTTTGATGCGGTTGATTATGCACTAATTAATAATTGATTTCATTAGTCAATTAAATTATTCGTGATTAAATATATGGCTATCTATTAATTTGGATTATTTATTTGCTGATTGTTTTAATTAGAGAAAATTTTCATCGATTGGTATTCAACATTGTGTATATCCAAAAGTGGAAAATGACGCGTTACTTGTGATTTGTGTTAGCGTTGCAAGTTACTTTTCCCTTTTAACAACTTAGTAACAGCGTTATTCACTCTTCTCGTTAGTAATAATCATGGCGACACATGTTTATTTTTTAAGTAACGATGACGAATATGATCGTTACTTTCATCGTTATTTTGTATATACATGTAATTTGGCGGCAGCGAATCGCTAAAGTGATGCTCTTCAAAACTTGATAAAAAAAAGAACGGAAAGAGTAACAACGTTACTTCTCGGGAAACGATAACGATGACATGTTATTTTTCAAAACGATTACGGTAACGACTTCCTTTTTCCAGTCTTTTCAATATAACGAACAAAGGTAACAAGATACCGTTAGAAAGCAACTTTTCCGACTATGTGTGGTTCACATTTCGCACAGAAGCACACTAAAAGACTGCGCGTGTAATTCAAGGACACCCGGGTACAATTCACGAGGATATCCGAGAGATAATCGGGTCAGGATAGTCCGATGTTCCGGTAAAAAAGAAAAAGAGAGAAAAAGGTCGTGGCTATCGATCCGAAATTTTCACCGGCGTCCCTAAAACGCGCCGTGTATATATACAGAGTGTCCGATAACTCACAGAGGAATCGCGACAGATTAGGTCAAACTGAACAAAAAATTTCTTTGCCATTTTGCGAACATCGGTGTACAGTTGTGCGCGATAACGCACCAATTTTCTTTAATTAATAACCAAACATTTACGTGATCATTTGGAAAATGGTAGAGAACTTTTTTATTTACAGTTTAATCTAATATACAAGCATATACAGCAGCAAACGTCGCCATCGCAGCTCATCGGTGGCGCGTGATCATTCACGAATCTTCTTTGATTAGTGACTCAAAATTTTGCGTGATTGTTCGCAAAATAGTAGAGAAACTTTTTATTCAGTCTGACCTAATTCACTTGTATACCGCAGCTTTTTCGTGAGTTGCCGGACGTCCTATATATTTGTAAACGGTTGCAGCATTTCGGCGATCGCGTTCGAGTGACCCCACTTTTGACCACCAACGGCCGCTCTCACTCGAAAAGTCCATGAAAGCTCGCGAGGGAAACGTTAAATTTGACCGCGGGATGGACGGCGCAGCGATAAACCTGGCGTGTAAGAATGAGCGATGTATCCAGCGCGCGCGGCGGAGATGCATCTTTTACGGCAACGCTGGAACCACCTTTACGGCTCTCGTCCAATTACTTACCACGGAAATTTCGGAAAAGCCGCACGTACCATCGCACGGACGCGAATCGAGACGCGAATAACACCTTGAGTAACGTTATTCCGGCGAGTAACATCCCGGTCGAGGCGCGAGTCGCGAATAATACTAATAATAGGAAATAGAAAATATATCTCTTCTTTTGTTATTCAAAATATACCAGAGCCTGTATTAATAATCGTTACTTGCAGTTTGTCTCACATGAGATACTGAGATTTTTACTCAGAATTTAATCCAAGTTTTTCAGTTAAATTATATGATATATGTGATGGTCTGCAATCGTGATTCAACTGAAAAACTCTTATTTAACTCTGAACTCAGTTTGTGTGAATATCTCACTTGGAAGAAGTTTCAAGTAACGACTATTAATACGGCTATTAATACGACTATTAATATGACTATTAATACGGACTTAAGAATATTTCTCGATTAATTTAAAATGTATTTAAAGGTGCATTTCTCCTCGCAGGGAGGCTACTATTATCAAATTAATTTTACATTTGTACTTATTCCCTTTCTCTCTTCATTCTTTATTTTTCTTTTGCTTTGTATAAATTTCTTCCGCTTTTCTTCGTTCACGGTAACGTAACTGCGCTTGAGGGGAATATTTCCGGAGCGCATAATAAACCTATATATCCATCTATCTATCTACCTATGTACCAATTATTCACCTCGGGAATTTCGGAAAAGGCGCACGTACGTCGCGCAGGGTGAGTCGAAACGCGAATAACATCTCAAGTAACACTGGCGCAACATCTCGGTTCGTCGCGATCAGTTGAGGTGCGAGTCGGGGGTAATATTAATACGAAAATAGGGAAGTAAATCACTCTTTCTATTCAAAATAAACGTCAAGTGTACTCACGTAAAAAACAGCATCTGCTCAATGGCGCATCTCCACACGTGACGGCAATTCGACCCCGTGGGACACTTGAAGCCGACAGTGTGCTTTTTCTGAAAATGCCAAATTCCAATACGATCAAGAAATATTCTATCATCTTGACATTGTCGTCTGGACATTATCCGAATCGTACGTCCACGTTTTGACAAACCGAATATGTGCACGACAATGATCTCCGCTCTGCGAGCAGATTACGTAACATGCGGTAGAGTGAGACGAGTATGACAAAGTGGAGAAAATTTGTCGCTGCGAGCTGTTGTAGCAACGATAAAGTTGGCAGGAGATCAATCTCGGTGACTTCGCGATGAGAATTTGTCTAATCGCTGAAAAACGATGCAGTGTCACGTCGCACCTATTATGCGCTCGTAAAACTGGATGAAACGCGCACAGGCCGACATTGCCCTGCTAATGCTTGGGAAACTCAACATGTCACGTTTATATGGTGGCCGGAAATCGCAGTTGAAAACGAGCCGGACATCTTGTAAGAGAATCATACAATTCCGGGGTGGTAAAGAGTGCCGCTTTATCTGTGCCTTTACGAGCAACGATTTCCGGTGCATGAACATATGAATACATACAGGATTATGCGCCGTGACTGCCGGTACTACAGCCGGGAAAATAACGACTTTACATGCAAAAACAACTCGAAAATAAATAAAACAATAATTTTTCTCATTTTCTCTTGGACCTGGTTTCTGAGAAAAACGAATATTCCAAGATTTTAATAATAAGATAAAATTCTAATAAGGTTTTTCTCGCAAAAGGGAGCCTCCTAGGAAAAATACCTTATCTTCATTTCGACAAAACAAGATCCTCGGGATCGTTTGAGATTTATATTTCATTCCAAGACGATTCCAACGCAATTCTCTCAATATAAATTTACATGTTCGTATCAACAATCGCATTTGGCTCTTATTTGTACGTGTCTCTCATAAACACAATTTTCTCTAATTACAAATTTTACGATAATTAAATATTTCAAATTAAAATTCTATCCGAAACTCACCTTCGTCCTTACATCCTACACAGGTCGGGTGTGCGCACAGGAAAAAAACAACAGGATTACTTAACTTGTAATCAGCGTCTGATGTCACGCGCACGCATACACAGTGCACGCGAACACGCGACGTGCACGGACGAGAAAGCGCGTTTTCACACGACAGCTGGCGCAATCGCGTAATACTGTGTAATGTTAGCGTCGTATAATCAAGGAGAGAAACTAGAGAGATATAATTAGACCCTCGTGATTTCCTCGAGTTAGGAAAAAAAAAATATGGCGTCCTATTGAAAAAGAGAATAATAATCGGAGGTGGCTGGAAATTGTCGAGGGAAGTTGCGAATTAACCCCAAAGGATAAGTTTTGATTAGATACGGACGTATTGCGTCGCGTGCATCGTGTCGCGACACCAGACAAATCATGGCGTGTGTAACCGACGATATATGCGAGATATGTGTACCGCTCTCTCACCTCGTTTATCGTCAAATGCACGATAAACATCTTTCCTTCGTAGTTGATCTTCTGAACTTCCGACCAGCGGAAATGGTGCGTCTTCCGTGAGCCTTGGAACGTCAGAATCCCGCAGTGGTTAATGCCCAGATAGAGCTGTGTACCCTTGTGATCCTGCGGGTACAGCGTGAACACAGACTTATCAGAAAATAGAATCGCGGTGTGACCGGAGGTGGGACGCGACGTCCCGTTCGCGTAGATAATTGGAGAGAGTATCTAGGAAATTTCCGTTCTCTGACGTAGTCATTCGCCACTTCGGCGCCTTGTGTATACATGTACACTGAGAGAAAGAAATGGCTGATCTAACTAAAATTACAACCATTTTATACCAATCATTTTTTGTAGCAAAGTCGCAGCAGTAACATGCATATAAGGTGATTGTCGCTAACACCAGAATAGAATTTAATTTAAAAAAATGATTTTCTTGACCATATAACTTATAGTGATTATTTCTCTGTGCGATTATACTACAAGTATCAAACATCTTTTTCTCGGTATAGGCTGTTGTAAAATATATCGATATATATACAGGGTGTTTTTTTTAACTTGAGACTGCTAAATATCTCGAAAAATAAGCATTGTACGACAAAAATGTCCCAAATAAACCCTCAATAGTTTCGAGGGCGCAATTCAATCCCACAAAAATTATCCACCTCCCGCCCCCCTGGGGATGGGGCCGGGGGTAACTTTGAAATCTTAAATGGGAACCCCTACTTTTTATTACAGATTCGGATTCTACATCCAAAAACACGTAACTTTTGTCTGAACTTTTTTTTTCTATTTCTGATAGATGGCGCTGCATTCGGCGAAAATTGGGTAACCTTCGTTTTCTTCAAAGGGAATACCCTATAATGACGCTACGTCGAAGAAAAGTAACTCTTGTCGGAAACATGTTTTTTCGAATTATCGTAAATCTCTACGATAATTTTTTATCCGTTTTAACTAAAAAATGAAAATAAAAGTTACAATCTCCAATGGCCTTGACCTTTACAAATGTTATACAAATGATGATGTTAAAAATTCAAGAGGTTTTAGTCGTCATTTCGACGTGGTCATTTCCAAATGGGTCCACTCACGATCTTTCAAAATTTAGTGTTAAATTCTTAACATATCCAAGTAATATTTACGATAATTCGTAAAAACATGTTTCCGACAAAAGTTACTTTTCTTCGAGCGTCATTATAGGGAATTCCCTTTGAAGAAAACGAAGGTTACCAAATTTTCGCCGAATGCAGCGCCATCTATCAGAAATAGAAAAAAAAAGTTCAGACAAAAGTTATGTGTTTTTGGATGTAGAATCCGAATCTGTAATAAAAAGTAGGAGTTCCCATTTAAGATTTCAAAGTTACCCCCCGCCCCATCCCCAGGGGGGCGGGAGATGGATAATTTTTGTGGGATTGAATTGCGCCTTCGAAACTATTGAGGGTTTATTTGGGACATTTTTGTCGTACAATGCTTATTTTTCGAGATATTTAGCAGTCTCAAGTTAAAAAAAACACCATGTATATATCAACTTCGTTGTCTATAATGTTATGTAACATTATGTTACATAACATACACTTATACACTTTAAGATGAAAAGAGAACCAATCGAAGCGATTCGAGTCAAGAACTCAATATCAGGGTTTGTATATGACAGATTAACTGCCCTAATACTTTTAGCAAAATTGTCGTGTTCTAGTGATCTCTTGTTTGTGTAATACGAGCTCGAAAATTTAGTTCATCGATGCAATCATAAAGTTGACCCAACACATTATTGGCCGTGTTTAACGTCTGGTCAACCTTTGCTCAACCTTCCAACCGAGAGTACACGGAGAAAACGTTATAGTAAAAGTTGCAAAACAATTTTGATAATCTTACACCATGCAGAATGATGACTGACATTATATTCTATATTTGTTCTAACATTATATTCTATATTTGTTCTAATATTAATTCTATATTTGTTCAAAAATGTTATGCACGTTTGGTTCTTTACTGCAAGATTATTGTAATTACTCGAATGTTTTTTTTTTTTATATCGTATATCAGATAAATCGTCAAATTTACTATGTCTATTTTTGCTGCAATATTGTCGCCACAACAATATTTATATCACACATGCAACTACCTTTCAATTTGGTTTACTTTCTGTCTTTGATTAAATTATTGGTCCAAATTCCTATATCGGATTGTCTATCTGACTCGACTTTTATTCAATTTGACTGATCACAGTTGCGAAACAAAAGTCGTATAGCTCCGAGACATGGTTTTTTGTAACTTTTTTTCAATGTTATGTTATTCTCTTTATACGCAATTCTCTGGCACTTTCACATCCCGGATCTCCCGACAGATTTTTTTCTCTACGCGTTTCGCATGAAATTTATTTGACGCATCGTCACCGTGCTGTTTACGACAAGTGTACGTCGCAACAGCCGACTACGAGTATTCGGCGCATAAAGCAGACACTTCGCGGACAAGTCGCATTCTCCTGCCCGGGTTAGAGTAGACGAAAACACTCCCGTGGTCGCGGCGGTGACGCGCCATAAAAACGACATTTTCCCTTAAATGGAAGGCGGCCGCGACAATGGGCCGCGATTATTTCTCGGCGACAATGACACTGTCCAGCCAGGAAGTGAAAAACCAATAAACGACAGGTGCCGCGTCCTTGATACCTCACGACGAAAGTGCAACGAATGAATGCATCGTGACGAATAATAGCGGAATGCTCTTTTTCACGGAGCGCTATGTGAAACGCGAGATTATTAGTTGGCCGAGCCGCGAGTTATATGTCGCGGTTTATTTATCAGGAAAGGTGTCTCCACGGAGATATAAAAAAACGAGAAATATAAACAAAAGATTTTCAGAGTGTACTTTATTTTGTGTATATGTTACAGACATTTAAAGAAATCAGATATGATCGATGATAAGTATCAAATCTTTATTACTATATTTCAGAGCAATTCTTTATTAGATTAAGTATCACAATATATAGAGTGATCTGTCGATTAGTCTTTGCTTGTGACAATAAGCTAAAGTGAACGTCTCGAGTGCTTCCGTGCGCTAATTGTTTTGAATGAATTGTTTTGAATTTCCCTTGTTTTTGAAATGTAGTGATGAATCCAGATTTTATCGACTATTATGAATCGTTAACTTGATTATGAACGTCCTTTAGATAGGTGCGATTCAGGAGATCGCTATACGATTTCGACAAGTCTTCCCTACACGTACAATTGAGCTGCATGTTCAACTGAGCTTATCCTCCGAAACGTTTCAAGATGTCGTAGATGTCGTAGCGTCCCAAACTGAGTCCTCGCGTTCTCGACGAGCTGTCGATTGAGCACATCCAATATGTTCATGGAGCAAGTGCCACGTAAGGATTTCGCTTCATTTAAATATCAATGAATTCTGCTCCTATCCTCCACGATATTGGAGGATGTCAATGACAGGCAGAATCAAAACTTATCTCCGAAAACGCTTTCTGTCTTATCGATCCGCTCGAGAATGAGAGATGCAGTGCGCGCGAATTGAAACTTCAAATTAAATGCGAGTTCACACAAAGGTGCATGCGGGTATATTGGAATCGATAGCGGCTGCTGACTCGCAGTTAATACATGCGCGCGCGTATGGGCTTGTATCGATAATATAAGTGTTGACAATGAAAATAATGTAAAATCTCTGCTCTCTCCATCGTCTCGTTCTCTCACTATTTCCAGAAATATTGGACATTCTGATATTTCAATACTTCAATACTTCAGTTTTGTTCGTTGTATTTTATACCGATCAGGCAGCAATTAACTCGGGTATATTGTTTTTTAGATTAGAGTGTTCTACATATTTTTTAGTAACGAGAAGGAGGGGGAAGAGGGAATTGTTAGCAGTAACAACAAATTGGCATTCCAGTTTGTTTCCAGCGAGTGGGAGCGCAATAAATTCGAGAATACGTGAGTAGTTTAAAAAATACGTAGACTGATATAGAGATGGCGCGAATATTTGACCAAATCTTTATTACCATATTTCTGAGCCATCTTTTTTAGATTATGTGTAGCAATATATAGAGTGATCTGTCGATTAGTTTTTGCTTGATAGTGAGCCAAAGCGAACGCCTCGAGTGCGTCCATTGTTTTTATTATTCCTTTGTTTCTGGAATGTAAGATGAATCCAAATTTTATCGACAATTATGATTCGTTGATTTGATTATGAAGACCTTTCATATTACGGCGAAATCATGCCAAAAAGTGTAATAAACAATGAAACTGTTCAGTTTAGTCTTTGCTGATGTGAGCAAACACAGGATCCATCATTCGCAAAGTTCACTTTGGCGCACTTTCAAACAAAAATTAATCGACAGATCATTCTATACTGTCATACTTAACTTAATAAGGGATGATACTGAAATGCGGTAATAAAAATTTGGCAAAATTCGCGTTATCTCAGTACTGAGCGACGTATTTTTTTCACGTATAGCAGCTAATTGACAACTAATTAACATTAATTATGCGACAAATACGAGATTTTTAGTGATGGGTCCTAAGATTAATAAGGATGAAAGAGAGAGAAAGAGAGAGAAAGGAAGATGGAGAAAAACTTCGATTTATGGAACTAACGCGCGGCGCGTTCGCTCTTTCTCTCTCGCGAGAAAGATAAACCGGTTATAGAGTCTTATCGACGTAGACGAGATATACGACTTCTGTTCACGATATATCGCGATATATCTGTCGTGCTATGATTCATCGGCAAGTTCAACCATCGATCTCGAAACTTGCAATCCGCGACGACGACGACGACGAGGACGACGCGCCGTTATTTGTGCGCCCGAATTGCGATCTCCGATAACGACTTTGCCGAGCAAGTCGGAAGTTCGAGCCTAAATAGGTTGCGTCACATTTATGTAGGTTGCGCCAGAATTTCTGAATTGACAGAAAACTCTTCGTTCTCTATTCGTTCCGACGAAAGAGATAGAGAGGGAGCTCTAGCCGCCCACAGCCGCACAGCGCAAAGATAAAATATAAAACTCACCTTGACCGGATGTGGATCGACCGCGTACGTGTCCAATTGCGAGGCTAACCTAAGGAAGTGGGTTTCCGCCTGTTCCGGCGTGAACCCTTTCAACTGAGTCTGATGTAGCTCCATCGCCTTCTCTTCGATCGATTCAGTTTGCTTCAGCAACAACTTGTGTTCGGAGATATAATTCCCCTCGTGAACCTCGATATCGTAATCTCCGAGTTCGCCTGAAAATTTCGAGGTGGGAAGACCGTTTCGTGTTACTTCGAGTCGCGATAGGTTCTTATACTAATTCCTACAGGAGTATAGATCAAAATCAACAAACATAAATTGAATGCCTCGTAGGAGGCTGGATGGTAGACAGAAAAAATGGGTAGCCGTTACTCAATCACTACGGGGCGCGAATGACTGGACATAAATCTGAGAAACGAGCGTTGCATCAGCTGGATGTCGCAGACAAATGGCGAAGATGGCAAAGAAATTAGCGATGTCAGTAGAGATGGGAGGATGGGAGGAGGCGTATACACGGATATCTCGCGAATACACTGAGAGGAAAAATATCTATTTACATACGGTAGGTACTGATAAAAAAGAAATATGCCTGCACCAGTAAAAAATATTTTTCAAATAAAAAAATATATATTTTCTTCCTTCAACCTTGACTATTCACGAGAGCAATTGTTTAAATTATTTGAACAAAAGAATCTCGATAAATATGTTAATAGCACACACGAATGTATGTAATTGTAAAGTGAATATACAATCTGTGGCATAAGAGCGTGTTTGCAATAATTCAAACAGTAGGTACTTAGCATATAATATTTTTGTGTTTCAAGGTTCGTAATATATGAAGTTAAAATGCATTGAAAGCTAAATTTCAGACTCGTTCATGTCTGCACGATAATCGTACGTAAACATCTCGAAATACAGAAGCTAAAAATGCACAAAATGAAAATGTGAGAAATACGTCGTTACAATAAATTTGTCCTCACAACTCCCGACGCCAAACTCATTGAAAAAATAGACAACCGTATTGATCTAAGTTTCGGGAAAACAGATTTTTACTTTGAAACAGTTATAGTCGTATCAGCTTCGCAGTCGTTAACAGAGACATTAGAGGGAATTCTTGTTCAGAATATGCCACCTCGCCGTCGAGGCTTACTCGATAGTAAAGAGGACTGAACACTGTACTAGGTAAACGCATTTTAATGCATATACGTTAACATTGTATTCATTATTTTGAAAAAGACTGTGTGTTCTAGGAAAAACAGCTTACATACTCTTGTACTACTGATTGTACCATCAGTATCCACCATAATAAATATTTCCTATTTCTTAGATATCGCGAGTTTCTCTCTCGCGAGTTATACTGTAACAACACTAGAAGATACCGCTCAAAATACCGAATATTAGCTCGCGACACATTCTCTTCATTTTCACCAGACGATGAGAATCCATGTAAAAACGGAAACTATTGCACGAAGCGCACAAGCGAGAAATCTTTGCACAAAAACGACTCTTATGACTAAATGTAGGGAAAGCACCGATGCCGACACTCCGCAGAATGTCTCGCTAAACTTCGCGCGTCAAGCTCGACACAAAAAGATCCAGCACAGGATTTGCGAGGAGAAACGGTTTCTGTCGCCACAGTCACGATACGGTTCGCTGAAAGGTGAACGGTCCGAGAATTGATGGTCGACGACCGAAGTTTTTAATATGACGAGTCACGATCGGTTAACGGAAAGTGGCGGGTCGCGTTGCTTCGTTTGGCACAGGGTTACGTTAAAAATTCCCAATAACGAAATTGCGACAGAGACCAAAGGTCAAGCCGAAGAGTTGTATTTACGTAAGATAGGGTGCCTGCCATTTATATGACTTATGTTGACGCTTGTGCCAAGTCGAGTTAGCTCAAGTCAATAATGTCAATATGATAAATGGCAAGCATTCATGATGTGTAAAAGTCGGTGCCCAAAATATATATCCAGATTTTTTATCCATATTCTTTCTAATAAAATTCAGGATCGAATGTTTAAGTAACTAAATACAATTGTTATTTTTCTAAGTGAATATCTTTTACGTAGACTAGTGGTTAATATATGATGCGTGTGAGTGTTTGTAATAATTTATTGTAATTTATTATCATATTGTTTATAATTTATTGCAGATTTTTTATTATATATCACGAGAAATTTAAGTGCTAGTATACACAATTATGTTTCATCAATAAAAAATGTTTCTATTAATGTTAAATGTTTCTATTAAATGTTCCTATTGATTTCTTTCAATTTCTTATCAATTTATCATATCATCGTTTCTTATCAATTTATCATATCACACAAATTGCCGAAATAAAGATTATTTAGTATAGCATTTTTAGCTATTACGCGATTGAACAATCGGTGTAAATAAGGCGACGATAATGTTTCGTACTTATTATTTTTCCTTTACCTCTATCAAAAACTCAAAAACTCAGTTCAACTCTCAGTAAAAATAGAGTCACACAAAATCGATTTGAGTTACCGATACATTGCGACACAAATTAAATGGAAAGCAGACAGCACTAGAAGTCGACTTGTGTTATTAAATAGAAAGCACCTATAAAGTACATAGAATACATTGACTTCCGAAAAGGGAGTCGCTTTCCAAACCATCTCGATCGCAATCCGCGGTAAGCAGGATAGTGGTGGTGGTGCTGGTGATGGTTACATTTGCTTCCGAATATGCATAAAGGTCGCCAGATGAGAAAATTGGCGATGGATAACAAATGAATAAGCAATCGCGGGCTTACTCTGCACGATGCACGCCGCCAGCAGCGCTGCCTCGCTGATACTGCAGGACAAACGTCCGTGAAGAAGGTCCCTCTTAAGCTGCTGATAAACCTGATACCTGGTGATCTCCTCCTTCAGCCGCAGAGGATCGGGCGGGTAGAATTTCACGCGGAAACTAAACAAAATCGGGTCCATGTCTGGAACACAGTCGCGGTGAGTGGTGGCTGGATTTTTTGGCGGTTTTGCGCAGATCAGTGCCTTCGCCTACGTGCACGAGGAGTACTTCTACGTATCATATGCATCCGCCGCGGAAGCTCGGCGGTTCGAGCTTCACGGCAACAAGTTCGAGCTAAGTTTTGTTTTTCTTTTTTTTATGTAGAGACTTCTAGTCACATCTAACAATTGTTGTTAGATCGCGTGTAAAGAACATTGCTGAATATTTACCTATCACAACCATTAAAAAGAATTCGAATTAGGATCGAAACATATAGACAGAATATAAATTTAACTTTATAATATTCAACTTCTAAAATAAAAATTAACTTGTTAATTAATTTACTTAAAATTTAATTGAAATTCATATAAAGTACGAATAAATTAAGTTGAAGTTTAATTAATTTATTTGAAAAAATAAATACACAAAAAAATATTATTCTACTGCTAAAAAGAGCGATTTTTTTCAGTCTATTTTTTTTAGTAACAATTATCTTCAGCAAAGAATATTTTTTTGATAATAGTATTAAAATATATTTAACACAAAATTTTGAAAAACTCAAAACTTTTTATATACTCAAAAGAAGAGTTCACTCTCTTTATAAGAATATCGTAAAATTTTCGAAGGAAAAGTTAGTATAATCATATGTATGAATTTTTGTTCTAATTTCTTTATTTGGTTACGTTTGATTACGGTTTAATTTCTCATGAGTTACATGCAAGAGCGATAGATGCAGAACACATTTATTTAGCACTGTTCTGGAGCAACGTCTCCTGTTATCTATTTTGTTCGTCGGTGTTTAGTAGTTTCGATTTCTGTCACTAGATGACAGATTTACAAATTATATAATTATATTATATATATTTACAAATTATATTACGATATTTACAAATATCTTGAAAACACAACTGCATTTAGGAGATATCATTTAAATACCTTTTACTTCATTTAAATACTCAACAATTTTTTTTCCTTGAATTTTCTTAAGTCTGCCAAATAAAGGATTGATATTCTTGATCATAATGCCACACTCACAAGAATTCGGAATATATGTTGAACTTAATACTTGAGACGAATTTATGATAGACTTGCGAATATATAAACTATGAAATATTCGAAACAAGTAACATTTACTTGAGTGCATTTTTCTGCGTACATTGCACGTCCCTCCCGCGTAATTGATCGAATGCCAATGAACTTTTTTCCGTTCTTTCTCGTTCGAGCTCGTTAGATCCGTATTTTCGTTTCTTCGAACACGACTCATCATCGTATTATGCCGCGGTGGCACATTTTTTGGACGCTTCCTGCCGCTCGCGAAGTGCCAGTCGTCGTTGCGATATAATCGTACGGTATCGAACGCTTTATTATCGTTTATGACGCGGTGGTATCCAACGGCGGTCTTTCTGAAGACAAATAGCAATCAAATATAATTTTATAATTATAATTCAAGCTCGTATCGTGCGCCGGTGGTGGCGGCATGCGCGATAACTGGTTTTACGAGAGACCGATATGTATATCGACCTCCTCTTTCTTTTCGGAACGCCAATCGATACTCACGCGATACCATACGAAATGGACATTCACACGATTACAAGTATCCGCGTGACGAACCATGTCCAAAGGACACTCAGACGATGATGGAAACGACGAAGGGCCAACAACGGTCGGTATCATCGAGCCAACAGCGGCGGCGCCTCGTATAAATGCGGCGAGCTATGACATTTGCGAGTCTTCCTTTCATTTTGTGCGAACGCATGCTTGTCGTTTTATAGTCGAGTTTTGCGAGAAAACGTTTAAACACGCCGCGAGGCGACGCAACGGTACGTAATGCATATACCGCGGGTGGAAAAGTGTTCACAAGTTTCTATATTCAGGTAGTACTCTCTCGTCTCTGCCGGGAGATGTTATTTTCACGCGCGGGTGTATTGAGAGTATGAAGCACTTGGCGAGAAGCATTTTGCGGCTTAGCGTGGAATTGTCTTAAAAACAGCGAAGACTCGGCGTTTTTGTCCGCTGTATGCGCTCAGTGGAGGGAAGTTTTGCAACACCTTTTTCTCAATGAGTTTATCGAAGCATTCGGATCCAATAGGAGAATTGGTTTTTGTAGTTTTAACAGTAAATTCAAATTGTAATAAGATGTTGAAATTAAAATGTAATATAAAACAAATTATCTTTTCAATTTTTTTTAGATACATTAATTAAGATAAATATTTTCTCTTAGATGCACACAGAATACGTTCTGAAATTTGTCGAGATAAAAGTGTTTTAATCTTCCTTCCACTTATTGTATATCAATCGATGGAATAACAATAATATGTAGTGTAATTAGGATATTAGTACTTTTTTACTATCTTTAGACATTAACGTAGAGCTGTCACGATGACAGATTACCGCTTGACATATCGCTCCCGCTCTTGTGAATCAATCAATAAATAATGAGTCGATAATGCGTGCGGGGTCAGAGAATTCCCCTCATAAATAACATTGCGTGTTAAAGCTATTCTGCCGGTTGGTGTATTAAAGAGATGCCAAAATGGGTGACAAACTCCAAGATTGTCGATAACGTAGGGGCGATTGTCAAAACGTCTTGTCAGATAAGCACTGAGACGGTCACGCCCTTTTCGTATTCCTCGTAAAGTGAATTGCGAAACGATTTAGGCACAATGAAGTTACAAACTCACCAAATTGTCGAAATTGGAAGTCTCTATTGAACTTGTCTAGTAATTACAGTATCAATTATTATTATTTGTTATTCTTAATATGATATTAATTATATTATTATTAAGTCCGTCGTTAATGAGTCTCAATTTCAATAATTTGGTAAGCTTTCAACTCCATTGTGCCTAAACCGCGTAACCCACTATATATATAGATCTTATACTATACTATACATATAATATCATATACTAAAAAAACACTAACATAAACTTTATCTTTTCTTGCATTTGTTTGCACAAATCTTGATAAATATCTTTATTACGCAATATTGAGCAATACCCCAATTCATTTGGGCACGCTCTTTTATTGCGTAAAAACATTTGTAATTCTGTGCGACACGATATAAATTTTACAGAAAATAGTAAATACTTTGTAAAATTTTCAAGTATGGCATCCCCTTAATCCTGATATACAAAAATCGTCAATTGTTAATTGACTTGGCACTCGAGAAGAGCAACTTTTAGCAGGGAGGAAACGCGAGCTCGTGCACACGTTATTTTGTGCTATGCAAATGAGGATGTACGACACATGCTCGCGCAAGTGTATCACGATGTAAATCGGTCTTTATACTCGATGAATGTCGCCATCTCCATAATGCAAAGTTGTGATCTTATTCGATACACTATCATTACACCTCATTGCTTTTGCCGATAAGATACTTCTAAGTAGCCGTCTCTAGCGTTGTCCTTCCTCAAAACACACGGAAATCGAGTCGATTAAATCGGATGAAATTTAATCAAGTGTGACCCCGACCGTTGCGCAGTTCATCCGGCTGACTGGCTCTCGTAAAAATGTTAATAAACAACGAATACAGAGATCGATGTCATTCAAAACGATGCTTCCGGCGACGTAAATATCGACGAATGGCGACTCTCGGTTCCGCGAGCGTTAAAATCAACAGGTACGACGACAAAGACATTCATCGAGCACACATTCGCTCATTCCGCGGTACGCGAAAATATTTTTCAGCCCGATTCTCGCGTTCGTTGGGCTCCACACCTCAAGACAAGTCCCTCCGCGAAACTCATCATCTCCCGTCGCGCGAGTGCAAGAATATTCCTTCTCTTCAGAGTGACAAGGAGGGTCGCGATTTCTCAGACGAGCGGACTGACCGTCGATAGAATTTTTCCAGGTCGACGAAAGAATCCAGATGCTTTTCGGATAAGCTCGCTCCGGGTCTGACCAAGTCTGCGAGAATAGGCCAGCGGGTCGCGACTGCTTGAAACTTTCATGTGACATCGACCCGACGTAATTGAGTGTGGGAGGAAAGAGGCACGACGACCGAAGCCTTGGTCACAGCTGTTCGCTACCTGATACCTGTGTTCTGTGCGCGACAACCACTATACATCACCGACTATAGCACAGCGCGGCGCACCGTCTTCGTGAATAGAATTTCCGCGGTGGTCGACCGCCGTCACGCGCCGTAACGCAGGATGGAATCGCTCGCGAATGTAATGAGATATCTGCACGGCGCATGATTTGTGTGTTTCGCCTTACAACTGCATCCGTCGCCGCGTCGTTAATTGCGTGCCGCAGACGAACGGATAGGAGATTGAAATGACTACCGCGATAGAGAGTCAAGTTCTTGGCCGGAGCGCAGTGTTGTTTGCATGCATTCCCGCGTAAATACGAGCAATGAAGAATTCTATCTCGAAGATAGAAAATACGGATAATATCTGTACATTGTGAAAAACAGATCTGTCGAAACAGATCGAACCGAGTAAAATAAATTCAATTATATATATAAAAAAAAAAAAAAAAATATATATATATATATATATAATTAGTGGAAGAAAAATTGCAATATTTTTTTTTGTTTATATATATATATAATTAGTGGTTTAAATGTTGACAAGAAAATTCTAGTGTTAATTTCTTAAATTTATTTTTAGAAAAATAAAAAATTTTTGTGTAAACTCATGTTTTTGCCGCATTTATCTTCATATTTATGATCATTTCTGTACATAATTTTACTCTACAAACTTGAACATATAACTATTATTTCTTATAGATTTCTATTAGCACTTTTACGAAATATAAGTAAAAGAGGATGAAAACAACCTCAGTGTGCCAAAAAAAAGGGAGCTCGAAACATGTATGCCATATGAGGATTAATGTTCCCATTGGATACCGTATGTCCTCTGGAGTAAAAGTGTCACAGCTTCTGACTGTATATGCTGTATATACCGCGAACTACTCCAACTCTGTCAACAACATTTTTATGTTTTTTTAATCTTTTGATTTATATGGGATAGGCTCCAAATTTAGTACTGCACACAAAGCGGCCATAAAGCTGACCCAACACATTATCGGCCGTATTCATTGTCTAACTTATTTAAGCTCCCGCCAGAGGTAGGAATTACCCACACTTGTATTATGTAGTTAGATCAGCACTTTAGTAGTTGAAAGAACATTTACATCGCACATACAACTGCGTTGCCTTAGCCTTTGATTATTTAACAAATTTTCCGAGTGAAACTCCCACGTCAAACTGATTCAATTTTTATCAAATTTCTGGCATCTTTCAACAGATTGTAATTTTTGCAACACGCGCGCACGCGCAAAATTGCCATAATTTTGAGACTTCATTCTTTTCTCGGCTTCTTTTTCCCAGTAGCGTACACGATCCAATACGTTGCCTCGTGCATACTCCGTTTTATCTCTATCAAAGAACAAATCCGCGCTGTATCTCCTCAAACACGAAGGTGCAACTCGTTGAGTTTCGAACACGCAATACTAACCTTTCACTTGCTTTATTGCTGTTTTCGCTAGGTCCAGCCAATGCTGTAAAATAAACAACACTCATGATGTTATTACGACAAACGATTATGACGCGATCGATCGTTTATTCAGAGCTCCATTATTCCTGACGCGTAATGATACACGATGTCATTAACTCGTTATCACTAATTAACAAACGCCACGTTTCCGCCGATAAGTATCAGGGCGAACTTCAAACACGTGGCCAAGACAAATAGAGAATCACGACCTCTGCTTATTATTCCGCAGCTACCGTAGCCACCGTTGAGATAGTGCAAACATGACGCGCTAATCCACGCACCGGTAGTGTTCGTGGGAAAACGAAAGGCGGACATCCAAAACCACGTTTTTAATCAATCAATTTGAAATCAACCGCCGACGATATTATCGTAACGATCCACACACGTTGGCGCATACGAGAACGCACGTTTTACTGTTGGACAATTACGCCAACGAGCTTGCGCATCTGTTCTAACGCTGATTGTACGCCAGCAAGCTCGATGCGGATACACATCGAAATTACCGTACATTTGATCATCGCTAAAGGGTGCTTTCACACGACGCTGCTTTCATTCGCCTCAAGCAAGCTTCTTAATTCGTCGGCGAATTCGCTGATAAAAACTCCTCGCTATGGCAAAGTTGAACATATCCAACTTTAACGCTCTCGTCAAACGGATTGCTGGATGACTTTAGTAGTAGCATACGGAAAAAAAAGGTTTGGTTGAATTAACCAAATATCTGGTCGAATATGAACGACCCAGAAATTCCGATTGAAGTAACCCGAATTCTGTTTAAGTCAACCAAAAATCTTGTTAACTTAAACAGAATTCGGACTTCTTCAATCGGAATTTCTGGATCGTTCATATTCGACCAGATATTTGGTTAATTCAATCAAATCTTTTTTTCCGTGCAGCGTTAAGAAAGGCTGTGCGTCAAGACGGTAGCGAACAAAAAATAGTATCAGGACTGGCGAACAGTTGTCTGAAGAAATAGATGTGCTTTCTTCAAAAGCTCCTCAAATTTCTCGCACGTTAATCACAATACTTTGCAGTACGCGATTGGATCCTCGAATACTAGCTTTTCGAAGAGATATTCCCTGAGCTAGTCTCCTAGGTTATCACGAATTCCAGCTTGAAGAGAATTTCAGCTTTTGCATAGAATACAACAGCGGCTTGAAGTATGTCATACCGTGACGCTTTGGGACTGGTCGTCCCCACTAGATTCTCTTCCAAACGCTACCCACTTCCTGTTTACCAGAAACGTGTAAATAGTTTCACGCTAGTGACTTTATCAGCCAGAAATTCGCTCCGAGAGAAGCTGACGATGAAAGAAACCAGCGACAAGATTAAATCGAAATCAGCTTCACGTAAAGCACCCTTTACATAACACCGCCGAACTGTACATAATATCGTTGACGAATATATCGCGTTCAATGCGAAAGCTAGTTTCAGCCTGGCGCGCTATCGGTTTCGCGTCAATCCAAATTCACGTGATAAATTCCGGACGAAGTATGGGATCATAGATCAAGCACAATGAGCAGCTCCAAGATTGCCCCGATCAGTTCGACAGAATCGGACGAGAAGCGAATAACATTCGCTTTATATATATATATATATATATATATATATATATATATATATATATATATATATATCCCTTTAAACTGTCCCTTACAATGGCTACTTTCAGAAAGTGGATAGAACGGGATCTGGGAGGATGCCCCGCTAAACTCGGATAATAATAGTCGATATGACGCGGAATATAATCTATCACTCTCTCGGGAGATTTGTCGGTTACGTGTTCCGCTCGCCGTGTTCGCGTCCGACGCTTCCGACGAATGCACCGGACCGAAAACAACCACGTGAATATTATCGCAATTTTTAGACCGAACGGCGCATCACGTGCGTTGGTCATCGGTCCTGACGCGGTTTCGATTGTGGGACACGTGCGCCGGTGACGTATGAACAATCGCGTGTCATCACGTGAGCTACGTGTGCCCCATAAATCAGCCGCAAATTAAGAATGGTACTTTGTTCGTTTCGTGTCGCAACGCCATAACGGCCGACTATTAAGGGCATGTCACCCATATTGCCCATATTTAAAAAATAATGAAAGAATCTTAAAAAAAAAAATAAAGATTAATCTATATTGCATCTAAAAGCGATTGCAAACAACCCGAAATCCTAGCCTTGTTTTTGACTTAAACTTTCTAACATCTGTATATTCTGAAGGATCAAGATATGTTGAATACGCATAGAACTGAAGTCCTACTTAGCGTCACAAAATAGCAGAAAACATATAATATACTTTTAAATTCTAAAGAAGGCTTCGCGACAAAGTAGGTTAAGTAGAATCAAAAGAGGCTTTGATGATAGGCTTCGAAGTCAAATAACGTTTTAATGGTACATTAATGACATTTCTACGTCAATAATACGTTATTAATACATCATGACGTATTATACTCTGCTATTTGGGAGTCTTCTAAATCGTACTGTTGTAGAAATATATTATGTTGCAATATTTAATGAGAGAAAAAATAATTAAAACATAATGACACAGATTTCAATATTTGTATACATGTACAAGTGTTCAAAATAATGTATGCAAAGTTTTATTGTGGTCCAAAGATAAAAATTTGAAAGTCAGAAATAATATAAAATAAAATAAACTATAAAAATTCAACGTTATAAAGTGAAAATATGTTGTTATTCAATTGCATTATATGTTGTTATTCGTTTAATTGCATCATATGTATAGGTATTTATACACAAAATGAAAATGTTAGCATATTTCTAATTTTCAGTGACTTTGTAGGAATTTTATACAATATATCTTTAACTCAACAGCGCAAACATCGCCAGCGAACATATGACAAAGAACTTTCACTAACTGTAATTTTCTTATCGAAAAGAATAGGTTACCTCACGTATCATGTGTAGATGTATAATTATAAAAAGAAAGCAAGAGAACACTCGCATAATGAGCTTTTTAGTTTAGTCACAATGATAAGTAATAAAGAATTTCTCTTTTAAGAGAAACGTGTGAGAATTACATGAGGATCTCTCACGATCGTCTCATATAAAATGTCTCGCATTTTTCCTCCTCCGGATTCGACTGCAGGACCAAGAAAAACGACGAGAACTGTGCCTGAAGGTAGGGTGCGGCGTATTAATTTTTGAGCAAGTCGGGGAGAACATCTGCGGATGTCCAGGCGGACAATATCGATTTTGCCAGACCTTAAAAGAAGGACTGGATCTCACGGGATATCGCGCCACGCTGAGGCTACAAAACCGAGTGTATTTTCTTTCTTCTTGATCAAATAAGCCGTAACAATAGTCACGCTAAAACGCGCACCCGGTTTTCCTCGCTCGGGAACAACGATGAAAAAGAAAACAATTTCAATGTTGAGATTAATTTTGTTTCGCGCGCAAATTATGTCTCCCGGGCTTCCAATTCAGATCGACCGCACTGCTTTTCCACACGCACTCGTGCGTCCATTCGAGTCCAAATAGAAGCGCACGTTCTCACCTCAAACAGGTGCGACGCGAAAAACTTCGTGGACGAGCCGACAAAAGAACGAGTGGAACGTGAGAGAATTCTAAGATTTGCTTTTACTAACTAAACTTTTCAATTCTAAACGTTTCCAGCGCGTGCGTAACGTTAATCATATAGAGACTCTCGTACCGCGAAGTACGTTGATGACGTGGAATAATTCTCTAGTTTTAGCCCTATTTTTTAACGTAGCCCTAGTAGAAATTTAGGATCCTAACGGAAAAACGCTCGAAGTTCATTTGGAGTCAGAGATATGTATATCTCTCTATAATCTGAGTACTTCATATTTGGCCGTAGTTATGCAAGAATAATCCAATTCACATGGAATACATTTCGAGAAAAATAAAAATGAAGATTTGATACATAATTCAGAAAATATAAATGATTCAGAAATATAAATATCACTGAGATTCTTCACAATCGTTCAAGAAATCTAGCATGATCAATTTTCTTCTCTTTAACTGTATTCATTGACAAGCTTAAACAAAATAAGAAAAAGACGCAATTAGTAAAAATGACGCAACTAGTAGAAAGTAAAAACTGCTTTTTTACTTAATTATTTTACTTAATTATTTCAGGTGCTTATAAGACTTAGATCTTTCTTGTTTTAAATAGATAGACGTATAGATTCTCCATTGTTAAAAAAAAAATTAAAAATCATAATTTTGTGGGTTGGATCATTTTTGCATAACTCTGACCATTTACTCTATCTTCCTTCATGAAGCAACTGTATTATTTGTTTTCGATCGGATTTTCTAATGAGTTAACGAATATATTGCGTTTTGAAAAGTAAAAATTACATTTATTAAATAATAAAGAGAGATATATATTTATATTAAAGTAGTTTAAACTACTTGGCGTGTTGCTCGAGTTTCTTATATCTAGAATATCTAAACTTAAATTATCATAAAGTGTCAAGAGAATGAAATTAGAGGGAAGTGTCCAGGTTTCATGTAGCCTATATTTTCCGTACAATCCTCGAGAGTAATTATGCAAAATTTGGTCCAGATTGGTCAGAGAATTTAGGAGTTAATAGGAAACATGCAGACAGACATTTATTTTATATATACATATAAATTATAAAGATCTAAAATTAGCATTTATCACGTATTATAATGTATATTTTGTTCCATATATATAAATTTAACAGTTTGTACATAATAATAATTCTAACCTTACTTTATATTATGATAAATATTAACAATTCAAAGTAAAATAGCTAGTAATGCTAATTTTAGAGAGATGTGCATCAATTAATATAAATATATAACTCCTTTTATTATTAAATAAATGTAATATTTACTTTTTAAAACGCAATATGCTCGTTAATTCGTCGAAAATCCGATCGAGATCGAATAATTTGGTCGCAGCTTGAGACAAAACAGGGCAGAATATGAAATATTTGGATCATAAAGAGACATACGTATACTTCTGATTTGAAACTAACCCCGAGCGCTTTTCCGTAAGCATACTTAATGCAGTTTTCGAGCAGTTAATGGACAGTTATGTTAACTTTTGTCTGGTGACTGAAAAATCAAACTGTTTGAAGTCCAAATCAGGATGTAATGCAAAATCTGAAGTCGCTTACTCCATGAAAACAGAGATTCCGTGCAGAAAGTCACATTTCTAATCTTGATTGTCATCATTTGTTTAAATTCATCAAAGTCATCAAAGTTTAAAAACTGTCAAATGTCTCATTTTCTTCAACTTCGTTTTCACTCGTTACTTACACGATTTTAAGATTTTTTTCAACAATATAAATAAATATGTTTTAAATTAATTTACGATAGATATATCGTATATTATAATACGCGTACATTGTAAAACTGAATTAATATTATCGATATTATATCTTGGAGAGAGTTGATCCCGTATATTGTACAGAAAGATTGAACCGTTTTTCAAACGCTGAATAAAATTCCAAGTTTATGTCCAATAACAATATACAGTATTTTTCCAACTGATGAGAATGCATCAGTACCAAACAACAATTGGCCGAGTGTCTACGCAAACTGCATACATTTCTACCAGGACAGTTTATATTCGGGATGTTTATACTCGCTACAGCGTGCACAAAAATAGCACGTGCGCGCGCGCATATATTTGAGTGCATTCAATACATTCACAAGTCTTCAACGTGACGCAACCGAACGTTCACGGCGTAAATGAAATTTGCGCCCTCTGACCCCTGGAGAAATTGCAGTAATCGATGCGCTAAACTGCATCCGTACGCTGATCGATGCACGAGTATTGCTTCAAGACAACTTGCTTAAACGACATTTCTCCAAAGTACAATTTAGCAGTAATTAGCGGTAGCGGCAATTATTCTAATACAACCGACAGTTACGCGTTGTTCTTGTGAAATAATAATAATAAGGACGGCAAGGAGGTTGTAGTACACTCCTTTTTTTGCGTGCGTGCTCGTGAACGATGCAGCGTGCCGCGCTGAATCGTCGGTATTTCAAGGCGCGTTTATTTTTAAATCCACCAGAATTACATCGACGACCTAAGAATAACGATTACACACGATGGAGTACACACCGCACGGCCATGTTACTCCGGGTGTCAGTAGAGCGAGTTTAATAACGTGACGAAGGTCTTTCCGACTTCCGCGATGCATCAATCATCGTCGATTGCGCGACGTGTGATTTTTCGCAATGTTAATACGCTAGAAACGCGCACAATGATAAGACGGCTATTACACGCGGAAGAGAACGACAAATCGACAGCTTGCGTCGCACGGAAGTATATCGAAGACGCTGAGTTGACGTCGAGGTGTGCGCGTTAAAATTCAGCGACGTTTTTTGCCAACTGTCTCCTCCTGTGAGCTTATCGTTATGCATAAACGCACTCACCCTTTGTCTGCAATGATCGACGTAGCGAAGCCCGAAGTAGTCCATCTCCAAAATGTTAAGTTGCTTGCACACATATTCGAGAATATATCGCCCTTTGTGTTGTGGCTGCAACGACAAAATAAACATCGCCAGGATCAGACTTCACATCTCAAAAGCCAGAATAAACGGTGACGAAAAACAATAATAGAAGAAACAACGTTTCGAAGGTCAGACGGAAGCCTGTTTGTATCTTAACTCTACATTACCAATATGTTAATTATTTCGATTTACACTTTATATAACAATTTATTTAAAAAAAATTTTTTTAATCGGCATTAATTTATGTTTCTCCTGTAAAAAAAAAGAAAAGAAACGTAACCTTAAGACAGGTTACAAGTGAAAAACAATTGAGGCAATCAAAATGACTCCACGTTGGACAATAACGAAATAATTAAATTTAATCCTTAGTAAAATCCTCTTATATGTGACCTCAATTCTTTGAAAACCAAAAGAAAAATATTCTAAAATCATTATTATTCCTCGTCATTAGAAGGAGAATTTTGTGGATCGTTCAGAAAATAGATGGCTTAATACAGAGATTCGCGCGAATTTGGCCAAATTTTTATTATTATATCTCAGAACTATTCTTTATTAGGTTGAGTATAACAGTATAACGTGATCTGTCGGATTAATCTTTATATGACAATGCGCCAAAGTGAACGCCTCGAGTGTCTCTATGTGTTCAATATTTTGATTGTTCCATTGTTTTTGGAGTTAAGTGATAGGCCTAAGTTTCATCGACGATTGTAAATCGGTATTAAAAGTCCCTCAGATGAGTGAAATCATGCCAAAAGATGCGAAAAACAATGAAACTATTCAGTTTATCTTTGCTGATGCGACTAAATGCAAGATCCATCGCTCGCAGAATTCACTTTGGCGCAGTGTCAGGCAAAAACTAATTGACAGATCTATACTATTATACTTAACCTAATAAAGGATAGCTCCGAAATACGCTAATAAAGGTTTGTGCTATCTCCGTGTTCCAGGCCACGTGTTTCTTGAACGATCCACGTACTCTTTCGAGTATACTAATAAAGTTTTCGCATAGAATATAGGATTACACAATATAGCACTTTCCAACTAGATTTTTTTTAAATGTTAAAATATTTTCTTTTTAGTTTTAAAAGAAACAATACACAAGATGATTTCGCTAAGGATGAGATTATATTTTTTGTATGTGGTAATCTAGAATTTTAAAAATTTTGCAAAAGATAAGTACCAGCGTGTTCAGCTGAAGTTGAAATTACGATCGGTTGGAAAACATTTAATGGCATATCGCGTCGCGCCAATTAACATACTAATACTATGTTACTTCAGACCGATACTATTTCGTAATAACGTAATAAACAGCGACGTCAAGACTTATGACATATATTATTCGCGAGTCTGGTTATGTAAATAATGACGACTTAACCGTGACCTCTATAACGACGACAGACAGACGAGATCGCCGCAATTACCCGGCCTAATGGCTCTGCAATTATCAACTGAAGGTTTGATTATTAAACGCTACAAGGACAACAAAGAAAAAACCGTTTACCATTGCATAATTTGTATACAGAGCGTGACATAATATTCTTGTCTCAAAGAAAAACATCCGGTTGTGGCCTCAATTGCTACTTAGAAAGTTTCCGAATACGTGAGCTCCCGAGTCGAAATTTTAACCCTACTTTCAACCTGAACTTTCTAACATGTGTATATCCTAAAGGATCAGTGTATATTTAATGCACAATGAAAACTAAAGGTCTATCTAGCGTCTTTAAATGACGGAATACGCACAAAATCCCACTTGTACTGTCCTAAAGAGGACAACTTGGCGAAGTTTTTAGGTAAAATAGGAGCCAAAGAAGTTGACACAGGCTTCAGAGCACCAAAGTAGGCATTAAATAAAACATTAAGGTCGAAAGTGGGATCAAAATTTCGACTCGGACTGTTTCGAGCAGTTGGGCGAATTAATCCCTTAAGAGCAACGGTATTGAAATGTCACGTCCCGAAATAACTCGCGGATCGGCTCAAGACCGCCGCTACTCGCGCGGTGGCCATCGCCTATAGCCGTGAAACGGCCGAAGAGGCGAACGAGGCTAGAGGCTCCACACGGGAGAGGAAAACCGGGAGGAGGCCTGCTCGAAGACGCTTAAGGTCGTTTGTATGGCAGCGTCGTGTTCGCGGCGGTGTGCACGTGTGCTCGCCCAGCATGCTAAATATCTTCGACGAGCCTCTCGCGTAGTCTTCGCGTGCGCCAAGATTCACGGGCACGCGACACGTAACAGCGGCAGCGGCGGTTCGTGTGCGAACACGCGACAAACCGTGCAACATTCAGGTGCGCTTCCATCTATCCACCTATCCAACCACTCGTTCACCCCCTCGCCCGGTCTGCCCCTCGTCGTTTTACATGCCAGCGTTTCGCGAGGCACTAGGAAACAAGGAACTGCATGTGTAGCGTTATATATTAATAGGAACGACTCCAGCCCCTCGAGTTATTTACTCGCGCGGGATTGGCGAGCAACACTCTGCGCTGCGCGCAATACAAATATAATCAACGATCGCGCTCGTAAGTAACCAAAAAACACGCGCGCATGGGTTTATGTGTGTGTATAAGACAATTTTCAAATGTTTTTGATTATTGCGATGGTAATCAGTGTTGAGCATTAAACGATTGAAATTGCTTTTAACTGACATAATCAGCAAATCAATAATCGAAATTAATCAATAGTCGTATATGTAGTCATAAATAATTTAAAGGAAGATTCGGGTTTAGATAATCGAAGAAGCAGGAGATTTTTACGAATTTTTTTCAGAAAGATAAATAGCGATCAGTACAGGGTTTTGACCGTACGATTTATCGCTATTTTACGCTCAAATGAATAATTTTTCTATCTAAAAAGAGATTGAAATATCGTTGTCCAAATTTTTTGCGCTGAACGCGGTAACGGCAGACGTCTTCAACTATAGTGGATATTATAGCTCATGTAATAATCTGAAATAAATGGAACCAGCAAAATTTTTAAAAACATTAAATTTGCTGGAGGATAAACCATTTAGAACATACATGTAGTTGTTACATGTAGAAAGCCAAAACTTAACCAAATGACGGCATTTCGGAATTACAGGTAATTTTACTTCTCTTTCTCTCTTTTTTATTTAGTGTCCTGGAAAAAAATACTAATTTCACACATTTTTCAAAAGATTTAGGTTTATTTGCCAGCAAATTTAGTACTGTTTTTAAATTTTCTTGTCCCATTTATTTCAAATTATTACACGATCTGTAATGCTACTCACTAGTTAGAAACATCCGGCGATATCGCGCTTACAACACAAAAAATCTGGACAAAATTTCATAATCTTTTTGTACTTAAAGAAATAATAAATAATATAGTCATAAGTCTATATTGATGTCTTTGTTCAATTCTTTGAAAAAAATTTGTAAACATCTCCTATTTTTCGGCTATCTAAACTAGAATCTTTTCTTGAATGGATGGGTGAAACCAATTATTATCGAGTATATAATCAATCACACATCAAAGTTTGATTAATAAATAATTTGACCAAAATTAATTATTTGTAATTTCATATATAACAATTGATCAATTTTGACTAGTGATTTGCCGATTATTTTAGTCAAAGAGAGAATATTAATTCGATAGGATAATGATACAAAGTAACTGAGGAACTGACAGAGCCATAAAAGGGAGAACTAAAAAATAAATCAGAAACCAAGGCTCACACAAATGTCATGCTTTTTTCGTATAGATCCATTCAACTAGAACCAGGAATAGAACGGCGGGCGATCGCGCTAAAGGCGCTAAAGTTTGACATTAACATAGCCGACGTGACTTAAAGTCAAATGTACAAGGCTATATTAGCATTATTCTCAGTATAGCGTGCGCATCTTATCGCGGAGCCGCTTATGGCCGGTTCGAACCAAACCCCTATCGCAGGTGGGATCGTACGCTTTCCGCGGCAAGCAATCCGCGATATCCGCGATCGAGCTAATAAACAATAGACCAGCGCGAAATCTAGTTACACGACATAGAGTGGGCGCAGGCAGACATACGGGGACGTATGAGGGGTATTCTCGCATATAAATCCAATTTGCCGGATAATACGCGAGGATTTGCATATATTAGCCGGAAACATACAAGCAGTGTCAAGGAACGCGACAATCGATATCGACGTGTATCAAGGCGATGATAAGTTTTGCCGCTCACCTAGTTATAAGGCGGGCTTAGTGTTATAAACGTGTACACACACAGTGGGTGCTTGTTGACCTTGCACCCCCTGTGAGATCGCACGCACGCACGAACGAACGAAAAGCTCGCCGGCGGGACACGCAATCCTTATCGGTATCTCTCTATTAGCACGTGGAAGGAAGATAGATAAGGGGAAATGAATAAGAAGCAGATAGAGGTAGGTAGATAAATAGACAGATAGGGATAGAAAGGTAGATAGAAGTAGATAAATAAATAGGTAGGAATGAGAGAGCGTGCGCGCACGCTTCGTCGCGGAGCGCGTGTCTGAGACGCTCCAAGTTAAACTTGAAGCACGCAATTTCTACTATATCAAGCGTAACTTAAAGTTGGTCACGAGATCAAGGCACACTTCAAATTCTTTGCTAAGCTAATCCGAACTCCGCGTAAACTTTCCAAGTTCGCTTCAAAAGTCGTGTGTTTAGCGTCATATATCGTGAAATATAACAAAAATAGATGATAAGCGCGGTATGCACACGTGTACAGCGCATGTGTGTGTGCAACGTGTGTTGCATTTAATGGCTTTCGCGTCAGTGCCTTATCATATTGCACGCTTTTGTTTATGCAATATATACACGCGCATTTAATTTTGCAGCATTGTGAAAACGTCATATCACCTCCCTCATTATCAGAATTCTAATTATTGAATTCGCTTGTGTGCGCGTATATGCGATGTCTACTTCATTCCAATTGATGCCGTTAATTGGAACGTTTTGTACCGTGAAATTCATAAAGTAATCATTTATCATTTGAAAGAGAGAGAGAAAGAGACACTTCGTCAGCGTTTAGTTTTTATTATTTGCGGCGGAGCGGCAAGCT